CTGAATCTCCGAGTCTCTATTTCCCAGTCTATAAACTGTATAGAACACCTATGCCACAAAGTGGCGGCTAAGAGACTTAAGTGGGATATCCATTCTGGGTTTTTTTTGTTGTTTGTTTGTTTGTTTTGTTTTGTTGAGACAGAGTCTCACTATATAGCCCTGGCTGTCCTGGAACTCTGTGGACCAGGCTGGCCTCGAACTCACAGAGATCTGCCTCCTGAGTGCTGGGATGAAAGGTGTACGCCACCGCTCTTTGCTTTCATAGTCTGTTTCAGTGGCCTGCTCCCCGATTGCTCAATAAATGTTTGTTCTTTCTTTTTTTTCCTCCTTCTAGACCTTTCACACTCCTTCCCACTTACACTTCCTGAATTGACCACTAGGTGGTGGTAGCCCGTGGCCTGATTCTTCCACCTCTGCCTCCCTAATGCCCTATCCCAGGCCCTGTTATACTCAGACAAAAAAAAAAAAAAGAAAGCTGGATGGTTAATAATTTGTTGAAGGAGGATATCCTCTCCCGAAACAACTTGGCATCCTATCACTATTCTTGGCATCCTTGTCATGAACTTCAGAAAATTCTTGATTTTCCCCGTTTAGGTTATAAATTAGATTATAATTCAACTCGCATTTGAAGGTGGGCTGTCTGAAGAAGGTAAGTGGAGGCAGGGAAGAGAAGACTGAGAGAAAGTGATTAATAAGCGTTGTAGGAAAACCACAGGGAGAAGAGGCTTACAGGCACATCCTTCTTCCTTACCCAGCAGGCATCCCGGGGTTCCTCACCAGTCAAGAGCAGGGGCTGGGAATGGGACGCTGGTATGCAGGATGGGTGTGTGGCAGGGGGTGGGGGTGGGGATGACGTTCAAAGAGGTGAGGACATAGTCTCTGCTCTCAAGGAGTTTATGGTCTGGTGGTAGACAAAGAATCCATGAAATTAAGTGCTAAACTCTAGGTTCTGAGGCCATGGTGAGTACAGTTGAGGTTTGTTCTGTTTAAGGTGGGGTTTGACCTTGTAGCCCAGGCTGGTGTGGAAAACCCCATGTGTTCCAGACCATCCTGAAACTTGTGATCCTCCTGCCTCTGTTTCCTGGGTTCTTGGACAACAGGCTTCTGCCACCGCACCTGGTTTTTGAGTACAAGTTTTGAATAGCCCAAAGAGGCTCAGCCCAGGAATAACAGCCAAGCTTTTCTGAGGAGCTGGGGGAACAGAGAGAGTAATTATAGACTCGGGTAGAAATAAGCATTCTCTCATCTGATGGAGCCAGCCTCAGCAGTTCACACACCGGGACAAACGGAGCACCCAGCCATCAAGGAGATTCTAGATACTAATATGAAACATGGTCTGGATGTGTACGGACAGTGTGGAAAGAGATCAAGACGAGCTAAGTTGAAGAAAGCCGAGTTCCGGAACAATATATATGCTGGCTCCCCTGTCATTTTAAAGGCTATCACTTATAATTGTATACCATCGTATACAAACAGACTTCCCTGAATACACTTCCAAGGAATGCTTGTAGTGGTTTTCCTGAGGGCGGGGCCCCAAAAGGGGGAGTTTGTAACGTGACAAGTTTACTTTTTACCTCCTTATACTCTAAGTTTTAAATAATTAAGCATCATCATTTTTTTTGCAATGCAAAGTTAATAAAAATGAAAACACATTTGTAGTCAGGAGACAGCAAAGACTGATATCTGGTTGACAGATAGCAGATGTCAACCCTGTGGCTGAGGGCAGATTCTGGAAGGCTGTGACTGACAGAAGAATTCACGTGTGATTCATTTGTGTCGATAACTCCATTTCCAGTCCAAGCTGCTGCTGCTCCACCTCCTCCTGAGACAGGGTCTCAGGCTGATCTAGGGTTTGTCTCCACAAAGCCGAGGATGCCCTTGAATCTCTGACTCTGTCCTCTTATCCTCTAGCCTCCTCTTCCTTGGCACTGGGTTTACAGGTGTGTGCCACTGTAGTGGGTAGTCATTCCAGCCTTGATCTGGAAGTTCCAACCCCCATCGAGGCTTCGGTAACTGTCACGCCTACAAGGCGGGGCCAAGGGAGGACCCTGAAGACCTGAGATCCAGATGCACCGGCTCTCTTGGTTCCTGGACCCTGGACGCTGGACGTAGACCGAGCAGAGTTCTCCAGAGAACACCGCCGGACTGCGCTACACCTTTCCCAGACCCTGCAACCTACCTATCCCTTCATTTGTAAGTTACCCCACAAAATAAACCTCCCTTTTAACTACATGGAGTGACCTTAATAATTTCACCAATATACCACTGTGCCTGGTTTATATGGTGCTGTTTTTTTTTTTTTGATTTATTTATTTATTATGTATACAATGTTCTGCCTGCATGTGTGCCTGCAGTCCAGAAGAGGGCATCAGATCTCATTATAGATGGTTGTGAGCCACCATGTGGTTGCTGGGAATTGAACTCAGGACCTTTGGAAGAGTAGCCAGTGCTCTTAACCTCTGAGCCATCTCTCCAGCCCCCGGTGCTAAGTTTTGAGCCCAGGGCTTCATGTATGCTAGGCAAACACTCAGTAAACTGGACTACATCCCAGTCCTTGCAAGAGACTTCCTAAGAGGGTGGCAAGGTTGCTGGAGGGGTGGCTCCGTGGTTAAGAACAACTTCCTCTTCCACAGGATTTGAGCTGCATTCACAGTTCCCAAGTTGGACGGTAACTTCAGCTCCAGCAGGGGACCCTGTGCCTTTGGCCTCTACAGGTACCTGCATTCATGTGACATACCCTCACGCAATACACATAGTTAAAAAAATAAAAAAGACAAAATCTTAAATTTTTCTTTTAAATTTTTACTCACATGTCTGTATATGGGTGTAAGCACATGAGTGCAGGTGCCCATGGAGGCCACAAGAGGGCATCAGATCCCCAGGAGCTGGAGTTACAGGAAGTTGTGAGCCACCCAACACCCAATGTGGGAGCTGAGAACTTAGGTCCTCTTGGAAGAACAGCAAGAACTCTTAACCACTGAGCCATCTTTCTAGCTTGACGTGTGTGTGTGTGTGTGTGGGGGGGGGGGTTGTCGTTGTTTTAAAGGGTAGCTAGAAAGAGAAAACACAGAGGCAAAACAGATGAAATAAGTGGAGCAGGGGAGATACAGGTACCCAGTACAGGTCCATGAAAGAGACACAGGGTAAGAAAGGCTTCAGGAAGATTCACCCGTGGAAGTGGTAGCTCCTGGTATCTTTTTCCTGTCAACGTTGCCTGCCTGAGGTCTGTTTTCAAGCAGATTTCACTTGGGCCACAATGTTGGGTGGATACCTAGCAGGAAGCCTGTAACCATTCACTGAAAATATTTGGTGACTCCCTGCCTGGGCCTGGCACTGTATTAGGCCATGGAAGCTGGATAAACGGAAGAATAACACATCGAAGTGAGGGAAACCTGCGGTGGTGTGTTTCAAAAGGAAAAACAACAGGCTTTCACTTGAGCACAGGCGGTCAAGACTGGATGGAGGAAAGACGGACCCTGTGCAACTGGACTTGAGGTCTCCAGCCTGGGCGACCCTAAAGACGGGTAGCCCACGGCTCTGGGCAAAGTCTGTTCTCATTTGGAGAAGGGCTCACTGTCCTTAATGGACAAGTCTGTCCTGGGTCACTCTTTCCTGCCGGTGACAGGCTGGAGTGGAGGGTCCTCCCAGACTAGAACTTAACAGGGAGATGGAGTTGGCGCACTAGTCCCCAGCTCATGAAAGCAGAGGACGACGTCCCCAGCCGAGCTTCCCAGAACTTTCACTTCAGGTACACAGAAAGTCAGACTCCCGGGGTTACATCCTTCAAACGTCGCCCAGAAGAGGGCAGTGGCCGGAAGCACGTTCGCCGGCCCTGGGGACCGCCCGCCCGATGCTTTCTGGACTCTCCCGAACCGGCCGAGCCTGGGGACAAAGGTCCCGCACTCAGCAGACAAACCCCCTAGAGTAGGTGTCTGGAGGCGGAGCGCGGCGGTCCCCGGTTCCAACTCCCTGTGTGCAGCTTGGCATCTGCAACCCTGACTTGGGGGCCGGTGTGTGTGTGTGTGGTGGGGGGAGGCCAGTCCGCAGATACCAAAAACAAAAAAAAACAAAAAACCTGAGGCTGACCTCTCAGGGCGAAAGGGGGTGGCCCTTCCCGAGCCCCACCCGCCGGTGAGTCACCTCCCCCGCGCCCCGTGCCAGGCGAGCAGGGCTGGGCGGGTACCAAGGTGGGCTCCGTCCCCGAGCCCGGGGCGAGCGGACAAGCTCCGGCGTGTCCCCGCGGGTGTCCCTGTTTACCCGGAGCCCCGGAGCGGGGTGGGGGGCGGGGCCCCCGCGCGTGGCCCCGCCCCCCGCCCCGCCCCGCCCCCCCGAGGCCGCAGGCCCCAATCCCCGGCCGCTTCTTACCGAGTCTCCAAATCAAAGCTCGGCCTTTCCCCTCCCCACCACCCCGCACCTTCCCGGCGGACCGGCCGCCCCTGCCCCCACCCGAGGCTGGGCAGGCACTGTCTGGGACCCCACGGAGGGGATCTGAAGTCCTGGGCTGTGACACTGAGTTCCAAAGGCGCGAGAGCGGGCGCTCCGCTCCTCCGCTCCACCCTCGCCCCATCCTCCCACCCCCGGGGCTCCTCGGGCTCCAGGGAGCGCCGGGAGGCAGGCGCAGCCCGAGGACGGCAGGGCGCCCCGGGGACTCCCACTCCCGGTCCGCTTCCCAGAACTCCGGAGCCCGCCGCGCCTCCGACTCCCCCTGCCCAGGGCAGCGCGCCAAACCAGCGCATGCGCATCCTCAGGATTGCCGCGTAGCTCGCTCGCTCTCTCTCCCCCACCCGTCCTCTCTTTTTCTTTCCCCGCCCCTTCCCTCCTTCCCTCCTCTCCCTGTCCCCTCCCTCTCCCCCTCTCAGCACCCCTCCCTCCTCCTCCTCCTCTCCTCCTCCCCCCCCCCCCCCCCCCCCCCGCGGCACTTCAGTCCAGGGGAACAGCGGTGCGAGCTCCAGGCCAGTGCACTGAGGAGGCGGAAACGGGGGAGCCCCCAGTTCTCCATCAGGCCCCTACCAGAGGCACCCCCCCTACCGGGTCCACGCCCCCCACCCCCCACCCCGCCTCCTCCCAATTGTGCATTTTTGCAGCCGGAGGCGGCTCCGAGATGGGGCTGTGAGCTTTCGCCCCGGGGAGGGGGAAAAGGAGCGAGGAGTGAAGCCAGGGTGAAGGGTTCGAATTTGGGGGCAGGGGGCGCACCCGCGTCAGCAGGCCCTTCCCGAGGGGCTCGGAACTGTGCCTTTTCACCTACGCCCCTGGTTCGCTTTGCTAAAGGAAAAGGATAAGAATAGAAGAGCCCGGGGAGAGGAAGATAAAGGGGGACCCCCCAATTGGGGGGGGGGACGAGGACGAGAAGTGAGAGGACCAGAGGGCGGGGGCTGCAGCTTGCAACGGCCCACACCATGCTGACCCCCGCCGTGCCTGCTGCTGCTGCCCCTGCTCTCCGCGATGGTCGCCGGGGCCACTATCGATGGTGAGTGAGATTTCCGCGGGCCCCCTTGGAACCCTGGGGGCTCCCCCTTCCCAGCCCCCACCCCTGCGTCTGGATGGGGAAGGGAGACGCGGGAGGGGGGTGCCTTTTGTTATCCCGGGTCCCGCTGACACAGCAGCGGCCTGACTGGGGGCGGGGATGGGGTCTGATTTGGGGGATGGGAGCCTGGGACAAATGATGCTTCCAGGGCCCCCCAGCTCAGACAAAGACCAGAGGCCTGGCTAAGGAAGGAGGGCTCCCCCTTTTTCTGATCCTGGGATTGAGAGGCCTTCTCTTCCTATTTCTGGTAGGGAAGGGCCTCTGCCTCCCCTACATCCTCCACCCTCCCACAACCCCCCCCCCCCCCCAGTCTGAATTGTGAAGGAATCCGGATTTGCTGTGTACCGCTGCAAAAGGGGGCGGAGGGCCTTTTGCGGTGGACTCTGAAGGCTGGGAGGCAGAGCTGGCTAGGGGTGCCCTGCTGGCCAGAGGGCAGGCAGGCCGAGAAAGCTGTGGGTGGGGATAGGGAGGGCCCCCTGTTTGGGTGTGGAATGAGCCCTGCATCCCAGACATGGAGGCCTGGGTCCAGAATCCTGGGCTGCCTGCCTGGGTTCCGAAGTGAGCACTCTCCTCTGATGGCCTCTGTCAGTAGCCGGTGTTGAGGGACGGAGGGGTCTGGTGATGCTCTTGACTGAATTTCCCTTCTTAATTCCTGGGAGCTTTGAGATGAGAGAGAGAGAGAGAAAAAAAAAAAACCAGATGTCATCATTCTGGAAGGGACTGGAGAATGGTCTGGAATGCTGGGGAGGGGGTTCAGAGGCAGCCGATTTCTGGCTTGATCACAGTTTGGATTGGAAGGAGAGTTGGAGGTTGGATGGGGGGTTATGACTGTGCACCCACACCCCAATTCCCGCTCGCTTAGTAAGTGTGTTTAAGCCCAGCCGACCTCACCTCATGCACACAGTTTATGTGGTAGACTTGAGCTGCTGGGTTCTTTGGGAAAATGTGCGCCCCCCCTCCCCTTTTTCTGCCAGCTGTTTTTCCTCTTGCTGTGAGTCACCAGTTCAAGACTTGCCCAAGCTTTACGCTGGGGTCATGGGGTTGAACTGGGCTGGGCCCCTAACTTGAGAAGGGGTGAGATTTCGTTACTTCCTGTCAGGTTCACCCTCCGACTGGGGACAACAGACTCATAGCATCAGACACCCCTCCTCTGGCGTCCAGAGCTTGCCAGGCTGGGATTGGGAAAGTTTTTCTCTGAAACCAGATTATGTGTTCTTCCCCCACCCCCTTCCCTAACTTGTTTCAGTTGGGAGAGGAGGGCAGGAGGGTCAGGAAGCAGCTGTGCCCAGAAAAACAGTTTACTCCGTGGCCCTCAGTCATGTCGTGTTGGGGACTGTCTTGTCTGGCTCCCACCCCTAATTTTCTGCCTACCCTTCCGACAAGCCTGTACAGCCACCCTCTCTGCCCCTCACGTCTCACGTCATCCTGTGCTTGCTTCTTGGTCTCAGCCCTGTGAGGGGAGAGGGGAAACTGAGGCAAAGAACTTTGGGAAGAAAAAAATATTAAGCCAGAAACAGACCCATCAGGAGCCTGTGCAGGGGCAGGGTTTGGGGGGTCGGGGGGGGGGGGGAGTCAAGTAGGCTGCCTGTGGAGGGCCTGGGTCCTAGGGAGTACTACTCCAAGGAGTCCAAATGCTGCACTAAGTTGATTGATTGGTGGTGTTTGAAGGAGGGAGTCCGACATGTTCTCCTTAACCGTCTCTAGGCAAGCCACCTCTAAATCCTGGGTTCATAGCAACTCTGTGCATGGTCGGTCAGGGTGGGGGTAAAGGTCAGTGGTAGAATATTTGTCCTAGCACACAGGATGCCCCGTGTTCCATCCCTGGCAAGAAACACAAGTCCCCAGGGAAGGGACCACCTCCAAACACACCCATACTCTTCCCCTGGGGAGGAAGAGAGACCTGTAGGAGTCGGCCCTGTAGACTCTGAATGTCCTTCTTGGCTTTCCAGAGAAGGGGCCTCCTGCCTCAACTTACCTGACGATTCTAATTGCCCTTCCTGCTTCTCAGGAATAGCTCTAGGGGCCTTTCCCCACCTTCCTTCTGTCTGTGTCTGAAACTCATACTGGGGTCCTCTGCATGGCGGGGTGAGAGGGTTCACTTCCTCCTAGGAGACACAGTGGAATGCACTTGCAGCCAAGGACGATGGAAAAGGTTAATGGAGAAGGACGATGGAAGGATCACTGAGGGCCTTGCTGAGGAGAGGAACACTTCATGGGAGCTTGCCAGGCAGCCAGACAGCTCAGGGAAGACTCCTCTCCCTGGCCCTCTCCTCTCCTGCTTGAGCCGGCCTGTTACTAGTTGCTAGGAAAGGTGAACAGTTGAGTTATGAGATTGACGTGTTAATGTCCTGGCTTCCTGAGAGAAGGTTCCAGTCTCCCTGCTCAGACCCAAATCCTAAACATCCCTCTGTAGCTTCCTCCTCTGAGGCCAGACACACCTTTATTGCCGTTATTTTGATGCTGGGGGTGGCAGCTTCCCAAGACTTTTTCTTCGAGTCTTGTCCTTGGTGCTTTTTGTTTCTTTGTTTTTGTTTTCTATCGCTCTGTCACTCCCTCACGGGGCCTTCCAACCATGCCTCCCAGGGCCCAACCCTAAGTCAGATCCTTTCCAAACCCACACCCTCTTCCAACCCCTTCCTGGGGTTAGGTGCAGCTCAGGGTGGGTGGCAGAGCAAACAGTGTGCCCGAGGCCCTGGGTTCGGTCCCCCAGCACCAACAAAACCCAAATCAACCAGCCATTGCTTTACCTTTGCAAAGTCCTTCCTTATTCCAGTGTTACTCTTTCCTGTCTTGGCCCCGCACATATGAACCCCAGAGTTTATTCACACACGTGCGCGCGCGCACACACACACACACACACACACACACACACACACACACACACACACACATACACACACACCCTGGATTCTCTTCTGGGGGTCTTGCCCACCCCTTGGATTCCTGTGATCCAGATCTGAGTAGGGGGAGCTTGCTTGTCCTTGGGGAACCTAGGGCTGTTGAGTGGGACCATGCCAGGGTCTCTGAGTTGGTGGTGACTTGTGCCCGGGAACCTGGTCCCGCCCCCCTGTGTTCTGTCCCAGATTTCAGCCTGGTTTGCAGGATCCTGCATTGTTTGGAGAAGGAAGCAGTTGGCTCTGGAGTGTTTCCCGTGCTGTGGCCTCATGGCACCAGTAGAGAGCCTCCCAGAAGGAGGTGAGGGGTAGGGGAGAGGGGATTGTCCGTCACACTCCCGTGAGATGACAGTCCCCCAGGCCTGACTGCCCAGGCTGGAGAGTTGGGCTTCCTTACCCGTCCGCCCACCCTCCCACACCGTGAGAGGCAGCAGGCTCTAATCTGGACTCCCTTAGGTCAGAAGTTACTGTGTTGGGACTCTATCTCCCAAAGCCAGGATATGTGCTGCCCCGCCTCCGTCTTAGGGAGCGGGGGAGGGGGTCATTCTCTGGGTTCACCCCAGGACAGCTGTGTCACCCTCTGGGCAACCTCTGCATTTAGCCCCCTTCCTGTCTTTTTGGCTGTCTGTCTGTCCATCTTCTTATGGTCTTCCAGAAGCTCTGTGTCTCTGGCCCTCCTGGTTCCCATCTTTTATTTACCCTTCCTCTGCTGTCTTCCCAGCCCTGACCCTCTGTTCTCAGTCACTGTCTTACTTTCTTTGGGCTAACTATATTTACCTCTCTGCAGGTCCCCTAGATCGTGAAAGCTGCTTGGTAGTGGCATCTCTTCCGGGCTTTCCTTCCTGCCCTTTACCTTTGCTATTCTTCCCCTCCTGGACCCAGACTGTCCCCTCCAACTTACCCCCCCAAATTCCTCTCTTCTAACCAAACCCCTTTGACTGATTTTGGAAATTGGGATCAGGGCAAATATTTCTAAAACAACAACAACAACAACAAAACTGGTGTGTGTGTGTGTGTGTGTGTGTGTGTGTGTGTGTGTGTGTGTGTGTGTGTGTGAGATTGGGGGTATTTCAGAAAGAAAGGAAAGAGGTGAGACCTCTGGTAGAACTTCCTCCTAACCGGCGGAGTCTGAGAACTTAAGGAGGTCAGGAGCTTAGCGCTCTCCTGCTGGTGAGCACAGGCCATGTGGGCCATGGGGGAGGGCTAATAATGGACTCCGCCTTGGGAGAGAGATGTTGACCTCCGCAGGCATTCGAGGGGATCTGGATTTTATTTGTGGGGAAAGGAAAAGACAGGGTCGTGGGTCAGGCTAATGTCCTGAGTCAATATTGACTTAGGATAGAAGAGGAGACCCTTCTCTTCCCCCCGGCGGTCCAAGCCACCCTGTCTGTCCATCTGTCCCAGGCCGCAAAGCAGAGTTCCAGACTCAGGAATGACAAAAATGTGTCTGAGCCTCACTGAGCTGCGGGAAGGAGCCGCTGGTAACACCCAAAATACATAAAATTTGGGGGAAAAGCTCTGTTGGGCTGGAGGCCCTTGCAGCCTTGCTCCCAAACGTTGGAAAGCTCAGATTCCCGCAGCCTGCCCCAACCTCTCTGGCTCCTCGTGTGGTTTTTCCCTTACAGAATGTTACTATCGGAGGGAGCCCAGCCCTCTCTCTACCCTGTCACTCTCCAAATGGCCCCAGGGTCACTTTCTGCTCTTCCTGCCTCCTGCATCCTTGTCCTTCTGGAAGAATGTTGAAGGTTCCCAGGGGCTGTTGAAGGACAGGTCCCTGCTCTTTGGAGACGTCTCTGTCCAGGGTTTCCTTCTCTCCCTGTTCCCTAGCCAGGCATACTGGCCTCCTGTCCCCACCCCACCCCAAGGTCCCAGAGTGGGACAGAGGACGACAGCCAAGGCTTGAGCCAGGCAGTGGGGGTCTGTGTTGTGTCTGGATACACACCCAACCCCACACCTCCTGCCCTGGCTCCGACTTGGTGGCCCTGGGGGCCATGGCTGGGCTGGGTGCCTGGTTGGGGAGGGGCAGGGTGTTGGCCAGGTTAGCATGGCGGTCACATCTCCAGGCTGAGAACAGACAGCCCCTGTGTCCCCGTGCTCCGCAGTTCGCTCTCCCTCCTCCCTCTCTCCTGCTTCCCCCTCCTGCCCAAGCCCTCTTCCGTCCCATCCTTGCCCCTGTCCTCCATGCCCTCCTCCCCAGAGGCTACCCAGCCCCTGTTCCCCTCCCAATGCAAGGGGAACCGTGTTTCTGCCTCCTCCTTCTCAGTGTTCTCCTCTGTGAGATGGGGTTGCCCTAGCAAACACCCCGCGGCTTGACAGTCGGACCCCCAGGGCTTCCGATCTGTGTGTGGTACTTGGTGGTCGTGGGGCGGGAGCAGGCAGGGACCCTTCCTAGCCGCCGCCGCCGCCGACAATGATCTTGTTCCCCGTCTGAAGGCCCCAAGAATGGATTTTCTGAACCTTGGGTTCAGATGCAGACGATTCAGCTGAGGGCATCTCAGTTGGCTTGGCCTTTAAGGAGATTATACATTTCCTCCCCCACCCCCATCCCAGCTCCCTCCCAGCTTGGAGGAGGCTTCACTTGGCTGTGGAAACTGCCCCAAAGTAGGTTATGTGTTTTCCTTCTTCTCCCCCTGAAGGAAATCAAAGACAGGCTTCAGCCTTCTCACTCAAAATTCCTAGGGCTTTCTCCACCATGGCTGACAGGAAGTTCTTTCACTTATCTCTCTCCAATCCTTCTGCTATCCTGGCTGTCTTGAGAGACGCGCACCCCCACCCACCCCACCCCACCCACCCTCTGCCCCTGAGCCGGAGGAGATGGTGCAGAGGGACAGGGTCTGAGCCCTGCTCTTCCTTTCAGGGAGGGAGGGGGGCCCATCCCCCACTGCCCTCCCTCCACAAGAGCACATCTGGTTTGTGAATCTCTCTCATTTCAGCTTTTGGAGTTTGCCAGCTGCTGTTTCCTCTGTCGAATTCAGGCCAAAAATGGGGGTGGGGGACCGTGGGGGAACCATGTGAGGGCTAAAGGAGGGGATCCGTGGCTGGGACGTGGAAGACAGAGGTGGTTAGAATGACCAGCCAGTGACCTCAGACCCTGGCTGTGAGTTCTGCCCTGGGTAAAGTTGGGGCATGGGCTGAGCCCCAGGTACGGGAGGGAAGAAGTGTCACCGGTGTCTCAGGGGCCCGTTTCTGAGCTCCAAACATCCCATCTGCCTCTGAGTCCCACCGCAGTCCCTCTCCCGCCCCCACCCCCCCTCAGCCGGCCTGGCTGGCCAGGGGAAGTGATGGCCTCCAGCATGCTAACTAGGTTGGCGGGCTGTTTCCCCGGGAAGACCTCACAGCTGGCCCAGTGGGGTAATGAACTCAGCATTATCCACCTCCTCAAGGGGCCTTTATTCCCGGATCAGGGTAGGAGGGAGGAAGGGGGACTCCAAGGGGGCCTGGCCAGGCCATCCTTGGTGTGTTTCCTGAACTCAGCTCTGGTTCTGGCCAGGGGCCTGGGTACAGTCCTCCCTGCCAGAGATGGGGATGAGGGAGTCAGGGGACTGGGTACAGTCCTCCCTGCCAGAGATGGGGATGAGGGAGACAGGGGCCTGGGTACAGTCCTCCCTGCCAGAGATGGTGATGAGGGAGACAGGGGCCTGGTACAGTCCTCCCTGCCAGAGATGGGGATGAGGGAGTCAGGGGACTGGGTACTGCTCTCCCTGCCAGAGATGGGGATGAGGGAGACAAGGGCCTGATATAGTCCCCTCTCCAGAGATGGGGATGAGGGAGACAAGGGCCTGATATAGTCCCCTCTGCCAAAGATGGGGATGAGGGAGACAAGGGCCTGATATAGTCCCCTCTGCCAGAGATGGGGATGAGGGAAACAAGGGCCTGATATAGTCCCCTCTGCCAGAGATGGGGATGAGGGAAACAAGGGCCTGGTACAGTCCCCTCTGCCAGAGGTGGGGATGAGGGAGAGAGGGTATTTCCACTGGACTCCCTCCGTCAGAGCCCTGACACACTTTCCTTACTCTCCGGTCTCAGTCCTGCATTCCAGTTAGTGCTGTCCAGGCTCCCCAGGACCTGTGGCTCCGGAGGGGTCCTTGGCCTTTGCGTCCATCTTGGTGCCTAGTCAGTGCCTGTCACAGGAGCAGAAATGGGCTTGACCCAGGCGGGAGACAGGATCCCTGCCTGGTGTGGGTGAGAGACCCCTCCCTGTGCTGGACGTGGTGATAAGGCATCAGATGAAGGACTACAGTCTTTGAGAACCTAGAGCCGTGGGACTGGAGAGATGACTCAGTGGTTAAGAGCACTGGTTGCTTTTTCAGAGGGCTGGAGTTCGATTCCCACCACCCAAAGCCAGCTCGCACGCATCTGTAAGTCCACTTTCAGGGGGTACAATGCCTTCCTCTGCCCTCCTCAGGCACCAGGCAAACATGTGGTCCACAGACACACACGCAGGCAAAACACCCGTCCGTACACATAAAATAAAACTTTATAAAAGAGAGAGAGAACCTAGAGTCGGCTCAACTGAGTTGAGTCCTGAATTTGTCACTTGCTGGGTGTGTGATCCTGGGCAGGTCTGGCCCAGAAACCGGGCGTTGGCAGCTCTCTAGGCGTCGTCCTGTGGGGCAGACTAAAGGATGAGACGGCAGAGGGAGAGAGCTGGTCGATCACTGCCCCCAGCACGTAACTCTGCACACAGCCCCGTCAGCTGTCAGTGATGTAGCTCCTCACTGGGGATGAGGGCGATTAAAGTCAGGTGGTCCCCGTGGATATAGTCATTCCACAGGTGAGGGACGTCAGAATTAGTTCCTCTAGATCGAGCCAGCCGGGACCCTGCCACGGGTGGAGAGTGATCTTTAGATCCTCCTTATCTGGAGCACTCCCCCGCTGGAAGTCCCCTACTCTGTGGCCTGACCAGCAGGGAAGCTGTTAGGTGGAAGGTGGGCCTCCTGCCCTCTCCCATCCTCCCTGCTGTCCTCCGAGAAAACATCTCCGAGCCACACTGTGTGCCAAGGGCCTCTCCACAGTTCTCACGTGGGGGTCTGGTGGTAAGGAGTTGGAGCTGGGGTGACAGGTCAAGAGGCCAGTAGTGTCCCCGAGGTCAGAGAAGCAGAGTGGTTAGTTAGGAAAGGCCGTCTGCGGGCTGCCCGTGGGAACAAGAGGAGCGTGAGGAAGAACCCCACAGCAGAGGCCTCTGCTCTTCCCGTCACAGTTAGCAAGGTCAGGGGGTGCTGGGGTGCGATGACGAAACCAGAGCGGCACGGACTTTGACCCTGAAGCCCTGGGGTGGAGGGGCATGCGGGACACCCGGCCTCGAACACTTGGAAAGGGGCGATAAGACTCTTGAACCCTCCCCCTTTGCTATATCTGCGCTCTATGGAGGATTGACGCTGGGGAGGCATAGGAAGCTCCAGCGTCCACGAGTTGACCGCCATCCTGACTCTTCCCCTCCCCCTTCTCTCCTTGCCTTTAGCCCCTAAAACTTGCAGCCCGAAGCAGTTTGCCTGCAGAGACCAAATCACCTGTATCTCGAAGGGCTGGCGGTGTGATGGAGAGAAGGACTGCCCAGACGGCTCTGATGAGGCCCCTGAGATCTGTGAGTTCCTTTCCCGGGCCCCTCGCTCTAAACCCTGGGCTTTTTTCTCTTTCCTTTTTGCGGACTGTTTGGGATAGGAGCAGCCAGAGACTCTAGCCTGGCATGGCCCTTGCTCTGTGGCTGTGTCCGCCCGTGACATAGCTCAGTGTTCCCTCCTGCGTCTTCAAAGCACCCGGCACGGTGTGAGCAGTGATGGTACCCTGGACTTCTCCCTTGGCTGCTGCACCCCCAAGGCTGTTGGGGGACAGTGGCCTCCGCCACGAAGGAGATAACCAAGCTGCCCTTTCCTTACACCATTTTCTTCCTCCCACGTTTGAAGCTTCTCTGGCACTCGGTGAGTGGCCTTCAGGCCCTGCCAGGTACCCTTCTGCCCCTAGTCTCCCAGGCCAAAGGCCACTGCTCTTGCTCAGTCCCTGTACCAGAAGCCCCACCCCTGTGCCCTTCCCGACACCCCGCCTTCCCCTGCCCCCAATAAGTGGTGTAATCAGAGCAGCTGTTTAAACTGGGAGAAAGGTCCTCACCCAGCCCTCACCCTCCCAGTGGCCAGGAGAGGGGTGAATAGGGGGAGGACTTGCTGGCAGGACCCCAGAGTCCTAGGGTCTCTGCCTTCAGTATTTCCCCTGCATGGCCAGTCCTGGCCAAAGGTCTAAGCATGCTATCTTTTCTCGTCACCCAGCTTCAGTGCCACCCTGGGTCCCTTCTAGTACCTCTGGCATGGCTATCCAGGGTAGTGGTGAGGGTGGAAAGGAAGTTACTGGTTCTTCCTCACCCCTGCATCCTGCCCTGGAGGGGTGATCGCCGGGTATTAGGCCTGGAGCCTCCTGTGGTCTACATCACTTCCCCCTCCACGTTTCTGACCCTGGGCCTGTGTGTTGGAGAGAAAGCCACATGGGGATCGGCCACACGCTTTCATTCATCCCTTCCTTCAGTGTGAGGCAAACCCTCTCTTACTGAATCCCCACACGTGTGTGAACACACATGCACCCTCCTGGACCATAACAGACACACATAGCCCCACCAGGCACGAACACCCACCACACAGAGGCTCAGGTCGTTTGCACAGCCCATGTGGATGCTCCCAAAAGTGGCTGCAGAAACACTCAGACAGACAGATGCCCAAACACGCGTCGTGGCGGTGGGCACTCAGACCCAGACAGGCTCTCACACACACACACACACACACACACACACACACACACACACACACACGCACGCACGCACACATACACACAAAGTACGGAAACTCCCTTGCCTAGAACCTCTATAATCACTCTATCGGCCTCACACGAACCCCTGCCTGCTCGGGTGGGGTCAACACCAGAACAGACACACCTTGCCGTTGGGACCGTTGGTGTCTTCCTATCTCATCCCTCTTCCTGGCCGCTATGGAAACGAAGAAGGATGTTATCGGTAGACCACAAGTTTTGACCTTTCTAGATCTTCCCACCAGGCCTTTGCTCCGGGTTGGAAGTCTAGAATAATACAGCTTAAGAGAAATACAGTATAAGTCACATATGCAGTTTTGAAATATCCAAACAGCCACATTAAAAAAGCAAACAGCTAAAGTTAATTTGAATTTTTTTTTTTAAGATTTATTTATTTATTATATACACAGAAGAGGGTGCCAGATCTCACTATAGATGGTTGTGAGCCACCATGTGGTTGCTGGGAATTGAACTCAGGACCTCTGGAAGAGCAGTCGGTGCTCCTAACCTCTGAGCCATCTCTCCAGCCCTAATTTGAATATTTTTATCAAATGCACCCAAAATATTATTTCAGTATATTAATATTACTTGTATGAAATTATCAGAGATCTTTGGCCCTCTTTTGATATTTGATATAAAAAAACTAGTATATATTTTATATGTAGGTTTTAGGGTTTTTTTGGTTTTTTTTGGATTTTTCCAGACAGGGTTTCTCTGTGTAGCCCTGGCTGTCCTGGAACTCACTCTGTAGCCCAGGCTGGCCTCAAACTCACCCAGATCCACCTGGCTCTGCCTCCCGAGTGCTGGGATTAAAGGTACCACGCCTGGCTTTGTATGGACTTTTAATTTAGCACACTTAAAGTGTTTGAGAACGGCATACGGCTGTGTCTGTGAACTGGCTCACTTCTAGACGTGGGCTTCACCCGACCCGAGCTCTGTGCTCTGAGAATCACAGGGAGGTAGTTTATTTCTGTTTGTCATGGGAGCTCCCTCTCTGCCAGGGACTGTGTTTCCTTAAACTTCTGCCTGTCTCCTGGTTTATAGACTATCGAGGGTATAGGGTCCATAAGCATGGCGCGTTTACGGTAGGCCCTGGCGTTCCCCTTCGCACGGATGACAGATGCGTGGCTACTGCTGTGGGTGGTGAAGCGGTAGTTAGAAGAGTCCGTTTAGTCCCTAAGACCCCTTGAGATCTACGGCTCTCTGAAATGCCAATCTTGGTTTATTCCTCACCTTCCCCACCCAGTACCAGGATGACTAACTGGCTACCTCAGGCAGCTTGGTGATGCCGTCACATCTGTTTGCTCCCAGGTCCCCAAAGTAAAGCCCAGAGATGTCAACCAAATGAGCACAATTGTCTGGGGACCGAACTGTGTGTTCCCATGTCTCGTCTCTGCAACGGGGTCCAAGACTGTATGGATGGTTCGGATGAGGGCGCTCACTGCCGAGGTAAGGGTGCCACGCGCTCTCCTGTGCCGTGGGGTACATGTTCTCTTGGCGCAGCATCTGGGGGGATGTTACAGTTCACGATCAAGGACCGTCCTTGGACTTTAGTGGGTATGAGACCTTGTCTTGCTCCCTTGCCCAGACTTGTCAATGAAATTAGTGGGCCCCTTGGGCTTGGAGCCTGATCAAACAGCCCTCTGGGCTTCAGCTGTGGGCCAGACTGGGCACTTTTCCTCTGGCTGTGTGTGCTCGGACAAGTCACCTCTCTTCAAGCCTGTTCTCAACTATTAGATGAGAAGTGTTTTTATATTCTGTTTTTAATAGTGGACTACTTTCTTCAAACGTTTTCCTCCATGACTCCTGGGTGTGAACACAGAGGAACAGAGATGTTGTCATCCGAGCTAGGGTTAGGGACGTCAAGTTTGGTTCACTGACCCTGCCAGAGTTCTAGAAGGCACCCCTCAAGAACTGCAAATCTGGGGGGTCCGAAGGCCGCTCTGGTCCTTCCTTTCCATATGTTCTCAAAGCTGGTTGATGGGAAAGCCTTTCAGACGGAGGAGGGGACATCAGTAACCAGTCACACCCCTTGGCTGCGGTAGCGGATTAAGAGGAATCCGTGATGTGGCTTGGCTGCTAGAGAAATAGTAGCCTCTCTTCTGCCCCAGGTTCTGGGCCTGGAGCAAGCAGTTTGACAGGTCTTGAGGAGGGCAGTCATAGGAGTGGGGGGTGGGGCCAGTGTCATATGTCATACACATGTCAGAAAACATCTGCTTGTGGGAGGAGACACATCTGGATCCTTTCACTCCAGCGGGGACTGTGGAGCAAGGGGGTTTGTGGGAGATTTTTTTTTTTTTTTCCTCCTTCCTTTTGGCTGATTTCATCTGGAGCTCTTGGGATGAGATACAGAAAGTTAGTTTAGGGCTAACTTCAGCCCTGTGGCCAATCCTAACCAGAGCATTGTGTGCCCAGGTTTGCTTCCCTTTCGAATACCTTTTTAGTCTCAGAAACAAACAAACAAGAAACTTGGCTTGGCATCCCGCAATATTAGAGAAGCCCGCCCGCCCGCCCACCCACAAGACTTCTTTTCCAGATTTCCCACATCAGGCAGCATTTACCCCCTTGGTGAAAGACGGGAAACTCGGTCTTTCTGACCGGAGGGCGGAGGGAAGAGTAACTGAGGTTTACCCCGCCCCTCCCGCAGCTCCTCCTGGCGAGCTCAGTGCTTTAAACACCTTAACCTCTCAGCGGTTTTCTCCTAGGTGGGGGTGTGAAGAGCCTGGACAAAGGGGTCTTTGTGGCCTAGTCGCCTGGCCCCAAGCAAGCCCTTAATTGGGTCGGTGCTGGGGGGGGGGGGCACAATTCTCCCACCTCGTCCCGCCCCTGTCTTACCCCCTCTGTCTCCCCTGGAGAAGTGGGTCATGGCAGGAGGAGGAACTCATCTTATTCTTCCTCTTCCTCCTCCATCTGGACTCTGAGTCTTCCCTGTGAGGCCTCCGGAGCCCAAGGATGACGTAGAACAGCACTTCTAGGCCGGAGGGCAGAAGCACTAACTGTCGCATTGCCTGTCCCTACTTCACCCTCCGCTGGAGCTGACATAGTAACTCCCTTCAGGAGCAAACATAAGGCACAGGGAAGATTCACTGTCTCTTCTTGTTGACCCTGTCAAAAAATACCAGAAGCCATCCTGGGGCGAGGGGTGACACCGATGGTCCAGGGTGAACAGAGCAGGCAGAGGCGGGTGCCAAGCCACAGTCGGCTGTGTGACCTTGCGCCGCATTGGTGCTTTCTGGGCTCTGCGAAATCCTGCGCTTGCTTCCTAAGTGCTCTCCCTCTCGGGCACCGCGGCCTTTACTTCAAAGCAGCTTCCGAAGGGTGACTGGAGACGGGGGAAGGTTGCTGTCCTGGGGTGGCTGCGTGTCTGGGGGCCTGAGTGTGTCTCTCCTACCCCGTGCAGAGCTCCGGGTCAACTGTTCTCGAATGGGCTGTCAGCACCATTGTGTCCCCACACCCAGTGGACCCACCTGCTTCTGCAACAGCAGCTTCCAGCTGCAGGCAGACGGCAAGACGTGCAAAGGTACGTGAACGTGGCTGTGTGCGTGTGTGTGTGTGTGACATGCAAAGGTATGTGAACGTGGCTGTGTGTGTGTGTGTGTGTGTGTGTGTGTGTGTGAGTGTGTGTGTGTGAGTGAGCGGGACATGCAAAGGTATGTGAACGTGGCTGTGTGTGTGTGTGACATGCAAAGGTATGTGAACGTGGCTGTGTGCGTGTGTGTGTGTGTGTGTGTGTGTGTGTGTGTGTGTGTGTGGGACATGCAAAGGTATGTGAACGTGACTGTGTGCAGGGGTGTGTGTGTATGAACGTGGCTGTGTGTGTGTGAGAGGACATGCAAAGGTATGTGAACGTGACTGTGTGCGAGTGTGTGTGTGAGAGGGCTGGCTGCCAGGTGAGTTGAAGCAGGGACTGGACTGAGGGAGAAAAAGACAAAAAGGAGGGCCCAAGGGGCAGCCCAGACATAGTGTGGCTGTGAGCCCTAAGTATTGCTTTCAGCGGAGCTTTCAAAACTCTTCGAAAAATTTTCGGTTGCACATGAATTTTGTTGTAAAAAATTAAAGCATTAGCCAGATGGTATGGCTCACACCTGTACTTGAAAAGCTGAGGTAGGTGGATTATTAATGAGTTCCAGGCCAACCTGGGCTACAGAGTAAAAGCCTTTCTAAAAAAAAAAGAAAAAGAGAAAAAAAAAAAGAAAAAGAGAAAAAAAAAAAGAAAAAGATCAAAGCCGAGCGGTGGTGGCACACACCTTTAATCCCAGCACTTGGGAGGCAGAGGCAGGCGGATCTCTGTGAGTTCGAGGCCAGCCTGGGCTACAGAGTTCTAGGACAGCCAGGATTACACAGAGAAACCCAGTCTTAAAAAGAGAGAGAGAGAGACAGAGACAGAGACAGAGACATAGACATAGAGAAAAGAAAAGAAAAAAATAAAAGCATTACAGATAAAACAGAGCTCCTTAATAAATTCTCTTCCGTTCTGCCCCCATTCTGCCTGGAGGTGAATCCAGCAGTGTGCTGTACCCCTCCACCAGCCCTCTGTTGCCATCACCAAGACTCTAATTGTAAATCTTGCTTGTGTGTGTGTTCTTTTTCCATACGTAATGCCACACTGTAGGTATCACTTACAGTGTTTTCCACTCCTCAGTACATTCTAGGGATTTTCCCTTACCCTCTCACCCCACCCTGCCCCACCCCGCCCCACCCGCCACAGTAGTCTGTAGAGATCTACCTCATTCACTAAAAACCACTGTGACGTGCCACTACGACCACAGTTGACTTGGCCATTTCCCTGTTGGTGAATAAGATGTCCCCAGTTTCCCCTCTGTCACAAACAATGCAAACCTTTCTGTTTAAGTTTGTCTGCCTCGAGTCTGCACAAATACCACCTTCTCCGTGTGGCTGTCCTTAACCACTCTCCGTGCGTCAGACCCTCACAAGTAGGCCTTCTCCTTCTTTTCCCTTTTTTTTTTTTAAATGTGTATCAGTGTTTTACCTACATATATGTATGTGCACCACATGCATGCCTGGTGCCCACGGAGGACAGAAAAGAGTGTTGGATCCCCTGGAACTAATAACATGGATGGTTGTGAGCCACCGTGTGGGCACTGGGAACTGAACCCAGGTCCTCTGCAAGAGCGGCAAGTGCTCCTAACACCTCTTCAGCCCCTCTGTCCTTTTTTTTTTTTTTTTAAAGATTTATTTATTTTTATATGTATGAGTCAGTGTTTTGCCTACATGTGTTTGTGTACCACGTGCATACTTGATGCCCCAAGAAGTCAGAAGAAGGCGTAGGAATCCCTGAAATTGACATTACTGATGGTTGTGAGTCACCATGTGGTTGCTGGGAACAGAACCTGGGTCCTCTGGAAGAGCTGTAAGTGTTCTTAACCACTGAGCCATCTCCACAGCCCCTTGCCTTTTTTTGGGTTTTGGTTTTTTTGTTTTTTGTTTTGGTTTTTCGAGACAAGATTTCTCTGTGTAGCTTTGGAGCCTGTCCTGGATCTCACTCTGTAGAACAGGCTGGCCTTGAACTCACAGAGATCCGCCTGGCTCTGCCTCCCCAGTGCTGGGACTAAAGGCGTGCGCCACCACCGCCCGGCCCTTGTCTTTTATTTTAAGAGCAGTGCTAAGTAAGGATCAAACCCAGGGCCTTGCACATGTCAGGTAGGCACCCTGCTGCTGACGTACACCACAGCCCCGCTTTGCCCTTTGTTTCCAACAGCACTGGTCATTTCCCACTCTACTACTTCCTTGAACCCAAGCTTTACCCTTTTTTTTCCTTTATTAAAACATCAGCCTTCCGTTTATTACCAGAGTGTAAGTTTCATGAAGACAGTAATGTAGTTCTGTTTTCAAATTCGTCATTGTGTCTTCCGAGCCTGCCTCATCGGTTTTCTGAGAAACGTTTCCTGAATGACCGTGGGGCATGATGGAGCAGAGGAAATCCCAAAACTATGTTTTCTGGGCAGTAGGTTTGCACATTCGGATCTGTCACCGGTTCCTCCAAACTGTCCCCCGGCTGGTGGTGTCACAGGGCACCCTGCTGCACTGGATAACAGCTCTCCTGTCTTCCTCTCTCCTCGCAGATTTTGACGAATGCTCCGTGTATGGCACCTGCAGCCAGCTTTGTACCAACACGGACGGCTCCTTCACATGTGGCTGTGTCGAGGGCTACCTGCTCCAGCCGGACAACCGCTCATGCAAAGCCAAGAATGGTGGGTGCGGCTGCCCCCCGGCCACGGAGCAAATAGTGGCCTCGGCAGCCAGAAGTCCCCACTGACCTTTGTTTGTCCCATCTTCAGAGCCAGTAGATCGGCCGCCGGTGCTACTGATCGCCAACTCCCAGAACATCCTAGCTACATACCTGAGTGGAGCCCAGGTGTCCACCATCACACCCACCAGCACCCGACAGACCACGGCCATGGACTTCAGCTACGCCAATGAGACCGTGTGCTGGGTGCACGTCGGGGACAGTGCCGCCCAGACACAGCTCAAGTGTGCCCGGATGCCTGGCCTGAAGGGCTTTGTGGACGAGCATACCATCAACATCTCCCTCAGTCTGCACCGTGAGTGGCCCGTTCTGAGGGGAGGGGAGATGGGCGAGACGGACCCTACCTGGAAAAATTAGACGGAAGGAGCCCCGCTCGGGGCAGGAGCCCAGTGAAGATGCCTCCAGCAGAGGCCGGAGACAGGGGGCTTGAGGCCTCTTTGTAGCAGGAGCAGAGGGATGGCGGCTCTTCTTCTGCTACACTCTGAGCTGTCTGTCTCTAGATGGCATTTTGCTTTTCTGGTCCAGGGCTAAGGGAGGCCTCAGTGGAGAATAGAAGGCTGAGAGGGCCATGAATGGTCACTCTCCCGAGACCAGGGACTGTCCCGTCCTTGAAAGAGGAGTGTGGATTAGACCATGAGGGGCTTCCCCATATAGCAGGAGCCGGGACTAGGGGAAAAAAGCTAAGGATTTGGAGAAGGGTCAGGGAACGGGGGTGTTAGGTAGCAGAGGGCAGAGGAGCCTGAGCCTGGCTTGGTTTGGTCTCCTGTGGAGTACTTTCACCCTCAGGAGTATGGCCAGAAAGGACTTCCCACCGCTGGGTAGGTGCCAAGTCCCCGAGCCTGTTTCCGGTCCTTGGCAGTCAATGAGACCGAGGGAGGAGCCGTGAGCTGCTTGAGCACTGAGGATATGCTGGCCGTTCCCATTCAGGCTCGCTGCCGACGCAGCTTGACGGTCGTACTTGACGGTCGTACAGTGGAGGAGGGTGTCACGGGCCGGGCTCACGCATAGCTGGGTGCAGACCCACGGCAGTGTTGTTACACAAACAAACAAAAACTACTTCCACAGAGTCCACAGCTGGCAGACTCACATTCCCCGAAAAGCCGCAGAGGGCTGAGGGGAAGGATCTGGACTGTGGCTGATCTGTCCCCCGCCCTCAGGCGTAACTGGAACTCTGACCCGGAGTAAACCAAAATTCCCTACCTCAACTTGGGTTCCCTAAGCTCCATAATGGATTGGTGCTAGTCTGTCCAGGTCTGATAAACTGAAGTGAAAGCCTTGTGGTAAATGAGGTACATAGCTTAGGGTTGCAAACTTCAGGTCCTCTTAGTTTGTCCCTGCCCCACCCCAGCTGGAGCCGATGCTGAGCCCAGGGGCCTCACTAGCAGAGGCTAAGCATGTGTTCTGTGGCTGAGTATAGCCCTCGCTCCTGTAGTAGATGCATAAGTTCCTTTCTTCTGGGCCTGGGAGGCTTTCTGTAGAAAGCAAAGGTCCCATGACATTGTGAAGGATTCGGTCTGAGTGAGAGGGTCCTTTTGGGGATGGTGGAGAACAGAGGAGCCCTTCCTGTCTGTGGCTCAGGATACGGCTCCAACATTGGCTCTGGCTTCCCAGCACCATAGTGTCCAAGGTCCACTGTGGTTGGATATGTGTTCCTTCTGGAGTGCTGGGCCGAGAGCTGCCTGGCACCTGAGGGGTGGGCAGCCCAAGGAGCCCTGTGTGGTGAGATTGGAGACAACTTCCTCGTTTGTGTTTCTGGTTCACCGTGCCACTCAACAGGCCTGCTTGGGCCAAGAGACACGGCAGCCTTTTCTCCAGCCTTGCCACAGGGCCAGAGAGTGGTACGCTGGGTAGGTGGCTATGATGTACCCTCTGAGAACCTTCTCAACTTCTGCTCTGGCTTGGTCCATTCTCCCGACTTCCTTCCCCACAGAAGCAGGAAGTAACCTTGGGTAGATACCCCTCCCTTGGCAAACAGATTTGCCTTGCCTCCCCAGGCTGCCGCACTTTACCGGGCCCCTGGGGCAGAGTCCAGGAACCTGGAAGAGACCAAGGTTCTTGGGGGAAATCCTCTAGGGGAGAGGAGCGGGCTCCTCCATGTGCCCCAGCTTCTCTTCCTCCCTACCTCGCCCCCACCCCCCACTCCTGACGCCAGGATGTCTGGCCGTCACCATGAGGATGGTTGTTTGCTCTCATCCCACAAACTAATTATGGGCCCTGAGTTGAGGATGTCAGAAGTGTCTCTGTAACACCCTCCCCCCACCCCTACTACATCCCCTTCCTCAGGAGGAGGCCTGCCCTGGGGTCAGGGAACTCCAGGGGCCCAGGGACACACCTGCTTGCTGGGGTCTGCGGTCCTATAATTAGCTCCCTGGAGGATGAAGGAAAAGTCCCCTACCTTGTGCCTTCTCGGTCCTCCACAGCAGCACTCCCTACAATCCTTCCCTGTGACAGGGACCTCTGTGAGATCCCTGGGGACCTCTGTGAGATCCCTGGGGACATGCCTAAGCAGGGTAGTGGGGGTGGGGGTGAGTGAGGAGGTAGGGTGTATGTCTTATGATTGAGAGGTGGGGAGCCAGTGAGGACAGCCTACTGGTGTGGGGAGATGGGGGAAGCCTGCCTCAGAGAGACCTCTGCAAACAGAAATAGAATATAAAGAAGGAAGGAAGCCAGTGAGAGAGCCTGTTCACATGGGTCCCAAAGCATGGGGACCGGTCTGCTCTGCATCCTGAAGGCCTCCTAAGGGCCCCTCGTTACTTCTCCCCCCAGATGGGGCAGGGCGCTAAATCCATCTCCCCTAGCCCCATGGTCACACTGGCTCGGCTCGGCTCCTGCCTTAGCCACAGCCCAGACCCACCTAGTGAAGCGGGAGATCTAAAGTTCCCATGCCATGTTTGGTGAGGCCAGAAAAGAAGGGAAGAGTGTCGCTCATGGCTGGCCCTGCGTCTCATCCCCAGTACTGAAGGGAAACAAGACTAGTGGGTTTGACGTTGAGGACAGAGAAATCACTCGAGCCCACATACAGCAAGATCCTTATTCAAAAACCAATAAGGGAATTTTAAGAGCCCCCACCCCGTCATACCTTTTCTAGAGAAATTGTGTGCATTTCAGCATGCACAAGCTTTTTAAAAAGTGTTAAAGGTTTCTTTTCTTTTTCTTTTTTTTTTTAACATTTTATTCTTGTGTGTGTATGTGTGTGCACATGGGAGCCATGGGAGCCATGTGGGAGTCAGATGACATGTGAGAGCCCTTCACTGTGTGAGTCCTGAGGGTCTAATTCAGGTCATCCAGCTCTTGGGTTCACCACTGACCTGTCTCACCAGCCCTGTGAACAGGTTTCGTTTTGTTTTGTTTTGTTTTGTTTTCTTTACTTTTTCTCGGAGCTGAGGATCGAACCCAGGGCCAGCAAGCGAGCGCTCTACCGCTGAGCTAAACCTCCAGCCCCTTGTTCTGTGTTTTTAAGACAGGAACTTGTGTAGCCCAGGTTGACTTCCAACTTGTTACACAGCTGGGACTGGTCCTAAACTTCTGTTCTCCTGCCTCCAGCCCCTAGTTGTAAAGTTCAGCCATGTTTATAGCTGTGCTCCTATCTGATGTTACCATTAGAAGATCCCTATACCGTGGTTTGATTATTAATTTTTTGGTGCATGTATGTGTGTGTACTTGTATGTATGTATATGTGTCTGCCCATGCATGTAAAGGCTGGAAGTCAATGTTAGATGTCTCCACCTTATTTTTTAATTATTTTAATACATATATGAGTGTTTTGCCTGCATGCATGTCTATGCATGCCTAGTGCCCAGAGAGGCCAGAAAAATGGTATCAGATCCCTTGGAACTTGATTTCCAGACAGTAGTGAGCCACTGTCTGGGTGCTAGGTACTGAACCCAGGACCTCTGCAAGGGCACCAGGTCCCTTTAACCCGGAGCCATCTCTCCGGCCCCACTCACTGCCGTATGGTAAGGTCTCAGTGAAGCTGGTGTTGCGGATCCAGCCAGACTGGCTGACCAGCCCAGGGATCCTCCCGTTTCTACTTCTCTGGCGCCGGGATCACAGTGTGCACTGACCACCTTATTAAATGTGTTTAGAGACAAAATCCTGCTGTGTAGCCCTGGCTGGCCTGAGATTTGATAGGTGGACTAGGCTGGACTCACAGAGGTCCACCAGCCGCTGCCTCCTGAGTGCTGGGATTAAAGACGTGCGCCACCACCGCCCAGCAACAACCAGCTTTTTTTTTATTTATTTATTTTTTTTTGGATTTTCAAGACAGGGTTTCTCTGTGTAGCTTTGGAACCTGTCCTGGATCTCGCTCTGTAGACCAGGCTGGCCTCGAACTCACAGAGATCCGCCTGGCTCTGCTTCTGCTGGGATTAAAGGCGTGTGCCACCAGTTTAACAACCAGCTCTTTCTTTCTTTCTTTCTTTTTTTTAAAGATTCATTTATTATGTATACAGTGTTCTGCCTGCAGGCCAGAAAAGGGCACCAGATCTCATTATAGATGGTTGTGAGCCACCATGTGGGTGCTGGGAGTTGAACCCAGGACCTCTGGAAGAGCAGCCAGTGCTCTTAACCTCGGAGCCATCTCTCCAGCCCAGTAACCAGGTTTTGAAAGTGAATGCTGGGAATAGAACTCAGGTCCTCATGCACAGGCAGTAAGCCCTCCGTTGACTGAACCATCTCTCCATCCCTAATTAATTAATTTTTGAGATGGGGGGGTGGGGTGGAGTGGGTGGGTGTGTTTTTAAAAAATCATAACAGGAAATGGAGTAGTGATTTTTCTAGAGGGGAGGCAAATAAACAAACAGCAGCCCACCCCTTCTCCATCCCATACTGTGTTTACAGAGTACCTCAGAAGCTGAGCATCATGCCTCATAGCTGCGATCCCGATACTTGGGAGGCAGAGATAGGAGGATTATTAGTGCCTTCCAGGCCAGCGTGAGCTACAGAGTGAGACCCTATCTGAAAAAATAAACTATACAAAATGGCACGTTTCCAGAGTTGACACGTGAAGGCATTCCTGCCTTTGGCCTTTCTGACTCCCACAGGGTGTTGTGATACCGGGGAGGTCTAGCCACCCTGTCCTCTGCCACGGCCATTCTGGCTCGCTGGCTTCTCCTTCCCTTTCCCTGGTTCCTGTTCACTAACAGCCCCCTTCTTGCTCCTCCTCTCCTGGCCAGCACCAGCCCCATGTCTCCGGGCCTACATCCAGTCTTGCCCCCCCCCCCCCCCCCCCCCCCCCCCCCCGCTGTCTCCTTGAAGTTGGCTCCCAAGCCAGCCTACCCCCCAGCTCTGTCCTCCCTGCTTTCAAGCCAAAGCAAGTAACTTAAGCAAGACGGACATTTCAGAGCCCAGTGAGAATTTCTCAGTCGCGCAGAGACCCTAAGTCAGGCAGGGCAGAATCCAGGCATTTCGTCCACGGGCTCCTGGCTGGATGTCCAAGCAGGGGTGGTCGGAAGGGTGCTCCGGGATAAGTTATGGGTAAGCTCTGGACTTGCTGGTGGAACAGGCCAGAGCTGAAGTCAGGGTTTGGTAGCAAACAGGACCATGAGGCCATGTTCTTTAGTCAGATCTGCCAGCCCCGCCTCACTGGCCTGATCCCTGGGTGGGATTTCGAACTGTGCTCTGCCAATGTCCTGGGGTATTCCAAGGCCAGAAGGGGAAGGGAAAGGATGTTCTGGCTCTAGGAGAGCAGAGGAAGGACTCTGTATTCAGTAAATATTTGTTAAGCCAATCGATACCTGTGCTTCTGACACCGGGGAGGAAATGTAAAGACAGGGCCTGCTCTCCCTTCATCTGCAGTCAGGTGGGAGTCGTGATGGAGTTCCTGGGGGTCACTGAAGCCTGTAACAGGGACGGGCACTTTTAGTAGGGTTAAATTCCTTCCAGCACAGAGAGCTCCTCTGTGTAGGGGAGCGTCTTCCTATACAGAAGTCCCTCCGTGTTGCGAGAGCTGCTTCCAGTCAGGGTAGGTCCACTATGTGGGGAAGGTCTCTCTCCTTAGAGCCGACGACGACGACGTGGAATAAGACAGTAGTGTTGCACACATGCCCCTCCCCCCGCATCCGGTTACCCACCTTTAGTCAGGAGGCCATAGGCTGGTGGAGGTGGTGGAAAGATTGGGTTAGGGAAGAGGGTGGCTTGGTGGGAATATAGTGTGTGTGTGGAGTGTCATGTGCTCCATGCCCTGAATGTACCATCCCATTTTACTGATGAGAAGACAAGTGTTGACTGACTCACCCATAGTTCCAGTTGGGAGGTGCTCGGAGCCCAGCAGAACCCAGGGCAGCTCGAGCAGAGCGTTGGAAGTAAGGTGGAACAAGTTAGAATGAGGACCAGAACCCAAGTAATAGGGGTCTCTCATCATCTCGGGACTCGGTGCATGTCCTGTAATCCTCGGGTGTATGGGTGTGTCTGGAGTTTTTCTTAAGATTTAAGGCCCTCCTTCCTGCACCCGGATCTCCTTATTTTACAGAAATCGTGTAACTGAAGCTACTAGGGTCGTCTTGGGGTCTGCTGGGGGTCATGTTTCTGGGAAAGGGGCCATAACTTAAGAAATACCTCTTGAGCAATGTGGATGATGGAGAAGTTGAGAAAAACTGGAGTTGTATGTGCTGAGCCTTGGGCGCTGGGGCTGCAAAGGAGCTCAGCACTTTTAGACACTCAGCCAGGTCTATTCTAGGGCCTGGAACTGAAAGTCCTTTTCGATGACGCAACCGGGCTGTGGTCTTCCTTTCTTGACTCATTCACCCTCCTCAAGTCCTAACCTCCCTTCCCTAGACCACCACCAAACTCCTCCCTCAGCACGAGATACCGCCTCTGGAAGGCAGGAGGTTGCGCTTGGGCAGGTCAGCCCGGTGAAGGCAAAAGACAACCTCTACCCTTCAGGGTTTTTTTTTTTTTTTTTTTTTTTTGCTATATTATTGTTTTGGTTTGGTTTAGTTTGGTTGGGTGGGTGTGGGTTTTTGGGGTTTTGTTTTGTTTTGGTTGGTTGTTTTTGATTTATTTGTTCATTTTTAATTTATGTGTCTGTATATGTGCCTGTGTGAGTTTATGTGCATCATGTGTGTGCAGGTGTCCTGGAGCTGGAGGGAGAGGCGGTTGTGAACCACCTCATGTAGGTGTTGGGACCCACACCCAGGTTCCCTGGAAGAGCGAGCAGCAAGTGTTTTTATTTAAGCATCCAGCCATCTCTTCAGCCCCTGGTTGGTCTTTTGAGACAGTCTCATGTCACCCCTACTGGGCTTGGAACTCACTATGTAGCCAAGGCTAGCCTTAAACTCCTGACCCTCCTTCCTCTTTCTCTCCCCCTCCTCCTCCGAAGTGCTGGGATTACATACAAATGCATGTCACCATGCCATCTAGGTTGACGGAGCAGGAATATTCGGCTCCTATAGACACAAGCCCAGGGTTCCACCTGAACCCCAAGCTGTAGGACCAAGGCTGTACCCCAGAGACTGCTCATGGACAGTGAGGAATATGACCTCCTTCCTGCGCAGCTTTGGAGTAGTGGCCTGTGGCTGCTGGGGGTGGGGAGAGGCAGAGGAATCTGAACTTTAGGAGAGAGGAAAAATAGTGTGGTGGTGGGGGTTGTATAACAAAGGAGTTTGCTTACGACTAATAATCTCCAGCTGCAAAAATACCAAAGGGGAGGCCAGGCTGGCCTGGGACATCATTTCTTGCCAACTCCTCACCGGCCTGCTGAATGGGACCCTGCTTGGCCTTTGGGGAGGTGAGGGAAACCCAGCCAAGGGTAAATACATGAGAGCAGGAACGGCTACCCTTCTTTCCCAGAAGTGGGAGGGCATGCAAGCCAGGAGAGGGGCTCCTCGCCCAGGCAGGTCACCCCATCTTGAGGCTTGGACGGACTATGGAGCTGCATCTGGGAGCAGGGCATCACATCTCTGCAGGGTTCTTCTCTTCCCTTCTTGCCAAGGGTGGATGGGGGAGCGGGTCCAGGGTGTTGCCAGTCCTAGGGCTGGGCAGTGACTCAGGAAGCCTGAGGAAGTTGGAGAGGAGGCCATCTGTGCCAGCTGGTGCTGGGAAAACAAGATTTGACTGATGAATTTTGCATACATGCCAGCGGCCCCCCAGACCCCCGCAGTGCCCACCGAGGAAAGGGCACACAGCCCTGTTGATTTTCAGTTGTCCGGCTGGCTGCGTGGGGCCGCAGAAAGGTCCCTGCTTTGGGATTTGAGTTTCCTTTGGAGGTGGCTCAACGGTTGCATTTTAATCTGGTTTCTCTGTGGTAACCATGCGTGCGTGGGGCTGCTTGGTCGCCTTTAACTCTTACACTGCGCTTTCTTCCTCTATGGCCTTGTCCTCCTCCTGCTCCTTGGCTCTACTCCCCAAGATGGGGTAGCCTTGGGAGCCCAGAGGACAGCGTACCTAGGTTTGGGAATGTGTCGGCATTTGTCGGGATAATAACCTCATTCCTGTGACCTCTTTCTACAGTCGTCTCAGGGTGGGGTTACCAGAGGGGGCCTGAAGAGGAAACCGTTTATGAGCGCCTCTAGTGACTGCTTGCCCTTCCCCCTCCCTCGGGCCTCAGTCCTGTGACTGTGAGTCAGTGACCAGACATCAACTTCCCTGGATACCACGTTCCCTTTACCCCCTCCCACTATTAAGAAATAGCCCCTGGATCCCTTTGGGGAGGGGCGGAGGGAGGGGAGGACTTGAGCCGGGAGCCCACAGTTATACCTGTAGCTGTGAGGCAGAGGAGTGTGGGGAGTGTGGGATACGCTTCAACCAAAGGCAGGTTGCCAAAAGGTGTCTTTACCTGTCTTCGTTGAAATCGGGCAGATAAAAATCTCTGCCTTAGGAACTTCCCAGTTTTGAGAGGCATTCCTTCTGAGGGTATCTGAATGGGGTCAGTGGGGGGCATGGAAGCCAGGGTCGTGTTGGGAAGGAAGCCAGCAATTGTCCTCGTCCCATCTACAGCCCTTCATGGCTCACAGTGACCGTGGTAGCTGCTCTGCACCGTTGGGAAGCTCCTCTCTAGGTTTCTCCTGGTTTATCTCCAGGGTCCTTCCTTCACCTTCCCCCCTGGACTCTTCTGTGCTCCCCCCGGGATATGAGGGGTTCAGCAATAAGAGCATTGCAGAAATGGGGGTGTGAGGGGAAGTCTGACTCCTGTTACTGAGTCCCAACCTTACGCCCCCAACCTTGTGCCATGCTGTATGGACTTAATGTTTTGAAATATTTTTCTCCAAGCTGAGATCATTTATGAACATTCTGCTTTCCAGTTTGTTAGTTGTTTTTTTTTTTAAACTTACGAAACATGTCCAGCTTCCAGCCAGTACTTCTTGTTGGTATGAAATAATTAGACGTACCATGTAAAGTGAATGTAAGTCTGGCCCAACCAAAGATAGGTGCTGTTTCGGTTAGTTACAGTGCTCTTATCTCAAGTAAAAGCAAATTAAAAAGAAAATATTGGGGTGAGCTGCCAGGCCTCTCCCCCCCGTCTTTTGGCACACCCCGGGACAGCTCTTTCCTCTTGAAGGCTGGATTAGAATTGGGATAGCCTGTCAGCGGGCCAGTGTTTACCTAATCCCCCCGGCCTATGACGACCCTCAGCCCAGGGTGGGGTTGGGGGTTGAGTCTATTCGGAGACTTCTATTCGGAGAGACCAGACACTTGGGAACACCAGGAGTATCGGACTGTGACTCTGCCCGTGACACCCACAGGCGCTCAGGGGAAGGTGGCCGCAGCTGGCTGGGCGGGGAGTAGGCCTCAGAGGAGAGCTCTCAGGAGGGCCGGGTACCGGGGGGAGGGCCTGGCCCACATAGCTCTCTCATTCATTCTCCAGACGTGGAACAGATGGCTATCGACTGGCTGACGGGAAACTTCTACTTTGTGGATGACATTGACGATAGGATCTTCGTCTGCAACCGAAACGGGGACACCTGTGTCACCCTGCTGGACCTGGAGCTCTACAATCCCAAAGGCATTGCCCTGGACCCTGCCATGGGGTGAGACTGGCAGACCATGGTTCTGATTCTGGGGAGAGGGGTCCCGGCCCGCACCCCACTTAACATTTGTGCACCCACAGGAAGGTATTCTTCACTGACTATGGGCAGATCCCAAAGGTAGAGCGCTGCGACATGGATGGGCAGAACCGCACCAAGCTGGTCGACAGCAAGATTGTATTCCCGCACGGCATCACCCTGGACCTTGTCAGCCGCCTCGTCTACTGGGCGGATGCCTACCTCGACTACATCGAAGTGGTAGACTATGAGGGCAAGGGCCGGCAGACCATCATCCAAGGCATCCTGGTGAGGGAGCTTTGTTGGGGGAAAGGATTCTCCAGGGTCTTCTGGTGAGGCGGGGAGTCCTTTTCAGGGGAGTTGACCTCTAGGGCTCCTAGTAAGTGTGGACAGTCAACGTGTGTCTTCTGGTGGGAGCAGAGCCACCAGGAATGTGGCAGAGAAGAGGGGGAATATGGTTTCCATTCTGATGGGAACAGTCACTTACAGACCACCTTTTACTTCCCTTTTCTTACTTGATACTTAAAATAGCCCCTGGGAGATGAGCAGGCAGTTGACAAGAGCGAGGCTCAAGGATGTTTGGTAATTTGCCAGAGGTTACACAACTGGGCAGCCAGCACTTGATCCGGCCAGGAGGTCTTGCCGCTCAGTGGTGGAACATCCATCCTGGAGTCACTTGCGCGAGCAGCCAACCCTGGGGCTTTGCCCGGAACTCTTCTGGTTTTAACCTTGAAAGTCTCACAGACCAGCAAACCCCTGATCTTGGGTGAATTGAAGTAGCTGGCCACTGGAGGCTTCCTTGGGACACGAGTGTGTACTCGGTCCCCCCAAAAGCTGCGTCGAGTGGCACTGTACACAGTTCTCTGTGGGCAGGGTTTAGGGCCCGATTCTAACTTGACTGAAGACCGTCAGAGCATCTACCAGGAGCTTAATTCTGTGAGGGACGTTTTTCCTGCCCTCAGTGGGAGGGATGGTTCACTGATCAGCACATCAGGTGCTGGGTCTTAATTCTGTGAGGGATGTTTTTCCTGCCCTCAGTGGAAGGGATGGTTCACCAATCAGCACACCAGATCCTGGATAGCAGCGTCACCATAGAGGCAGACTGTGGAGTGGGGTGGGGATAACGTCTCTTAGAAAGCTCCAGAAGTTCTTTAAAGAGGTACTTTGTGAAGGATGAGTAGGAGCTTGACAAACAAATTTTCCAGAATAGAGGAATCAAGAGTTTACCATTGAGTTAAATAAAACTGGAAGGTGAACTTGGGAGAGCAGATGCCGGACGGAGTTTGGGTGGAAGCCACAGGCCTGTTGGGCAAAGCACACATCCCTTTCGTCTCGTTGACCAACCATGCCTGCCGTCCCAGATTGAGCACCTGTATGGCTTGACTGTGTTCGAGAACTACCTGTACGCCACCAACTCGGACAACGCCAACACCCAGCAGAAGACCAGTGTGATCCGAGTGAACCGCTTCAACAGCACTGAGTACCAGGTTGTCACCCGTGTGGACAAGGGTGGCGCCCTGCACATCTACCACCAGAGACGTCAGCCCCGAGGTAAGCGGGTTCAGTGACCCCTCCGAGGTGGGCTTCACCCTGACAGGACTCCAAGCTCAGGGCCACAGTTCTTCATTGTCTTCATAGCGAGAGTGCTTCTGGGCCCCGACCCCAAGCTACCAACCCTGGCTTCTGTTCCCGTGGATATCCTTACCCCTCCACACCCCCAGTTCCCTTGTGCCTGAGGCTAAGTTATAGCAGGGCAGTGGAATCTTAGTCCTGTGGCTTCCAGATTCTAAAGTGGGACCAGAACAAAGGCCCACTCTGATGGCCTGAGCAGAGTCTCGAGGGGTGCTGACGGCTCTCCACTCTGCACCCCCCCCCCCCCCAGTGCGGAGTCACGCCTGTGAGGATGACCAGTATGGGAAGCCAGGTGGCTGCTCCGATATCTGTCTGCTGGCCAACAGCCACAAGGCGAGGACCTGCAGGTGCCGGTCTGGCTTCAGCCTGGGAAGTGACGGGAAGTCCTGCAAGAGTGAGTAACAGGGAGGGTTGGGCAGGTGGGCCTGCTGGGTGTGGGGGTGGGTGCTCAGATATGCCCCCACGGCCCGCTGCCTCTCTCGAGATGCAGAGAAGCCAAGGGCAGAGATGTAAGGAACCCACCCACATCCAAGAGCAGCGCTATCCCTACCGCCCATTCATTCATTCCGCTAATATTTAGCAAACACACACTGGGTGTTGGACGCTGTTCTGGCAATGAAGGGTGTGTGAGGGAAAATAAAACAAGTTGTGGTGGTGAGGGCCTCTCTGAGGATGTGGTGTCTAAGCCAAGCTCTCTGTGGATGAAGTGAGGTAGCCAGCCATACGGCTTACCTGAGAGCAGAGGGTTTCTGGAGGAGTGCAGTGCAAAGGTCCTGAGGCCGCGGTAGGGTACGGTGTGCCGAAAAAGACCTGGGGGGCCGAATGGTGTAAATGAAGGGATGAGAAGCTCATGGTCGCCGTGGACAGAAAGGGGTGATTGGGTTCATACTGTGTAAGCTTACTCGGTGCTGGGCAGAGGCTGGGTAGCCGGGAAGAAGCCAGGCGGCTGTTTCCGAGGCCTGGGGAAGAGCGATGTGGTTTAGGCTAGGATGGCCGCGGAGGAAGTGGAAAGTGACCAGATTCCAACCTATTTTGAAAGTGTTCCTTTTAGGTCCCGAATTTCACTACTGAATAGTGGAAGCTAAAGGGACGAGCTTCCCTTCTCCGACTTCCCATCTCACACGTCCAGCCCCCGGGCACGGTAGCCTTGGGACTAGAGTTGAACATGTTATCCCGTGTTCTCTCTGACTGACTCAGAGCCCCGTCTGCTCCATCTCTCCTGACTCAGCCCAGCCAATGCACTGCGGCTCCTCAGACCCACACTCCCAAGTGGGGTGGTGACCAGTGTGTGTGCGTGCGTGTGCGTGCGTGCATGTGTGTTTAATTTTGTGCCCTTTATGTCTGCCCTAGAGCCTGAACATGAGCTGTTCCTCGTGTATGGCAAGGGCCGGCCAGGCATCATCAGAGGCATGGACATGGGGGCCAAGGTCCCGGATGAGCACATGATCCCCATTGAGAACCTTATGAATCCACGGGCTCTGGACTTCCACGCGGAGACTGGCTTCATCTACTTTGCCGACACCACCAGCTACCTCATTGGCCGCCAGAAAATTGATGGCACTGAGCGGGAGACCATCCTGAAGGATGGTAAGGGCCTTAGGAGTGGGAGGTGTGTGGGTGGCACTCCCGAGGCCTGTGGCGCCCGGAACAAGAAGACATCAGAGGCTCAGACATCTCCCTCACAGCATGAAGAGTCCTCTGCTGACTGGCTGGCTGGGCTGGTTGGCATGGAGATGAGGGGATAGACAGGTTGACCTCTGTGTGACCTCTTTCTTGGCTGAGCCAAAAAGAATCAGGAGGATGGATGGGTTAGGCAGTGTGGGCTGCCTTGGCCAGACCTTGGGAAAACTTAGGGTCTCTCTGCCATTGGCTCTCTGCCACGGCCCGTCTCTCTGCCACGGCCCTGGAGCTGTCTGCCTCACGCAGCCAGGAGAGGCCTGAGGCCCTGAGTCGGAGCTGGGCCTGCCAGATCAGATGGGGCACAGCCACAAGTGTACACGCACACAGTATGTGCAGCTGGAGCTCACGGCCACGGGAACCTGCACCTTTATGTGGCCTGAGAAAACCGTGCCCTGTTAATTCCGTCCAGTCTCTCCCTCTGACCTACTTTGGCAGGGCCACTGTGGAGTGTCATCAGAGCCATCCCCATGGAGGCTTCTGGGCTGCGTGTGTTTTGCCTCAGATCTGTACTTCGGGGCCCTGAGATCTGGTTCCCTAATCAGTCAATCTGGCCGATGCCAGTCCCTACCCTGTGCCTGGCTCCCCACCCTCCACGCAACTCAGAGAACTTCAGCAGTCAGCAATCATAAGACTGTGTGGAAATCAGAAGTAACTCCTAGTCAGGAAAAGGTTGGGGTTCCCTTTGCCAGGGGAACTGCTATTTAGGGGATACTGAAGATGAAGCCTTTGGCTAAGGGAAAAGTTACTTCCTAATTTATTCATTTTGTGAGCTCAGGGTTTTTAGGCCTAGGACGTGGCGTCACGCTTGTTCAAGTGGCCCGTCCATATTGCCTCGGCTGTCCACCTAAGCACAGGCCCAGACATGCCCTCACTCGAGAGCCCACATCCACTACAGAGTTCCTGGCTGCCCCGTGCTGTTCTCAGAGAATGACTCAACACAGATGTGACAACCTAAAGGGTCCCTCCCCAGCCGCTCTTCCCCCGCTACCCACCACTGGGGGCACCGGGTGCTTCCTGCTCTCCCTGCCTGGCCACGGTCTCTCCCTGCCTCCTGCATACTCTAAGGATCACCCCCATCACCCTCTCTACCCCCCACCCCCACCACAGGCATTCACAACGTCGAGGGCGTAGCTGTGGACTGGATGGGAGACAATCTTTATTGGACCGATGACGGCCCCAAGAAGACCATTAGTGTGGCCAGGCTGGAGAAGGCTGCCCAGACCAGAAAGACTCTGATTGAGGGCAAGATGACGCACCCCAGGGCCATTGTGGTAGATCCACTCAATGGGTAAGTCTGCCCAGGCCTTGGGTTGGGGGAGTGGGAGCATGCTCATCTCAGAACTGGGGGAGGGAATCAGCAAAGCAGGGGGCCTGGCGGAGGCAGGCAGGCCACTGAAGCAGGAAGGGGAGCCTGGAAAAGAGAACAGGTGTCTGTCCATCTTAAGGGTAGATCACGAAACCATAACACATACCCAGAAGTCTGCTTCTGGCTCTCTAGGACAGAGCTCTCTTCTGGTTCCCTCCGGCCCTGTGCCGCGCTAGCCTTTGGACCTGCCCGGGGCTTTTTTGGCCCACATCTTCCCATAGCCAGTAGTTCTCGCCCCATCGTGTGCTGTCTGGAACGCCAGATAGCAGCAGATTTAGCTTTTCTTGTCAGCATCGAGTCTCAGAGAAGCCGTCCCTCACTCTGTCTTCACCCCTCCTTGCTGCCCGGCTGGCTTCTCTCCACCCCCCTCACTTTTCATTTTCCTTCTGATTTTATCACTTTCCTGACACAACCCTTCCTGAGCTACCTGTTTCTGGGTGGGATGTGCGCTCCCGAGGGGTGGGGAACCTTAGTCTCTGCTAGAGGCTTACCCAGCTCCAGTAGGCACTCATCGGGTGTGTGTTCGACGGAGGCCAGAGTAAGTGCAATGTGTGGTTCGGTCTCAGAGAGACCCCCGGGAGGAGTTCTGGATGCCACCCAGTGACTGGACTCACGAGAGAGGCTGTTGAGGGCAAGGGTGACCGTGTGGTGCTGACCAGCCACTGCCCACAGGTGGATGTACTGGACAGACTGGGAGGAGGACCCCAAGGACAGCCGGCGAGGGCGGCTGGAGAGGGCGTGGATGGACGGCTCACACCGCGATATCTTTGTCACCTCCAAGACAGTGCTTTGGCCCAATGGGCTCAGCCTGGATATCCCAGCTGGGCGTCTCTACTGGGTCGATGCCTTCTATGACCGCATCGAGACCATACTGCTCAATGGCACAGACCGGAAGGTGGGCAGGCGTGTGTGCATTGCCGAGCCCTGTGTCTATGCAGGAGACTCCCCGAGAATGCGGATGTCTGTGTGTCCAGGCCTGTGTGCTTCTTAGATGTTTACCCATGGCTCTGTAGATGTGCAGACCTGTGTGTCTGTGTATCGTGTGTGTTTTCTTGCTTGTCTGAGATGGTCTCTCTGCCTCTGACTGCTCATGTTCACAGCTGTGTGTGCACCTCTGTTCTTGCACATCCATGCACAGCACACTTGGTGTAGTCCTGCACCGAAGTGTGAGGTGCCTAGGGACAGCATTTTGTGGGTGTTTGTTTTCTTGGGTGGCTTTGTACTGTAAGAGTTATGCTTGTGTTTAGGTCTGGGGACCAAACTCTGGTGTATCAGGTCCTTCACAGTACAGCTGCTGGGCCACCTCTATGGCCTCGTGTCTCCTCCTGCTCGCCACGTCCAAACACTCTTTGAACAAGCGACACTAGACAGTTTGTGATTCCTAGCACACACTGTAAGACCTCTACTACTGAGCCTTTGCTTCCTGGGACTCTTCCCAGCTCCTCCTGGTCCCTCTTCCCCCAGATCACCCACATACGCTCTCCAGGAGACGATGGGTACTCAAGGGCAATTTTCTTCTTAGTACCCATCACAGAGTGGCCCTTAATAGATCCCAATAAATGTTAGCTGGGCGGTGGTGGCACACGCCTTTAATCACAGCACTTGGGAGGCAGAGCCAGGCCGATCTCTGTGAGTTCGAGGCCAGCCTGGGCTACAGAGTGAGTTCCAGGACAGCCAGGGCTACACAGAGAAACCCTGTCTCAAAAAACAAACAAACAAAAAAATAGATCCCAATAAATGTTTATTAGATGGAAAAATGAATGGCTGAATACTGGGGTGTGTGTGTGTGTTTGGGAGCCATAAAGGAGTATGAATGGCCCCATGAGAAGATAGTGTGGACAGTGTCCTTTCTGGGTCACCTGAAGGAGTCCGCATTACCGGGCCCCTAAGCATCCCTCAGACATCTCTATTTACCCCCACCTCCTCAGAAACACTCCCCCCCCCCATTCCTAGATTGTGTACGAAGGTCCCGAACTGAATCATGCCTTCGGCCTGTGTCACCATGGCAACTACCTCTTTTGGACCGAGTATCGGAGTGGCAGTGTCTACCGCTTGGAACGGGGTGCGGCAGGCACACCTCCCACCGTGACCCTTCTGCGCAGTGAGCGACCTCCCATCTTCGAGATCCGAATGTACGATGCCCAGCAGCAGCAAGGTACTCCTTGGTACTGGCAGGGCACCCTGGGTTGGTGGGATGGACCCTGGGCTCCGATCTCTGAGGCTTCTGAGGAGTCCTCCGACTCTGTTCCTCATTCACTTCTTGTCCCGTGTCTGTGTTCTCTTTCAACGTGGTCTTCCTCTCCTGACTCCCTCTTACATCCTTCCCTAACTCTGCTGCCCCACCCCGTGTTCCCCTCTCCTGCAGTGGGCACCAACAAGTGCCGGGTGAATAACGGAGGCTGCAGCAGCCTGTGCCTCGCCACCCCGGGGAGCCGCCAGTGTGCCTGTGCTGAGGACCAGGTGCTGGGTGCAGACGGTGTCACCTGCTTGGGTATGAGGGGCCTGGCGGGGGGGCGAGGATGGGCTCCAGCAGGGGAATGCCATGTAGAAGGCAGGGGAGTAGTCAGGTCTCAGTCTGAGGTTAAGGAGGCAAAGAGGGGCCCTGTGGGGCTGATGGGAAGCAAGGGAAGGCTTCGGGGAAGGCTTCGGGGCTAAAGGCAGACTGGGGGTGGAGATTGAAAGAGCTAGAAGATCAGGGCTAATGAATGAGGAATGAGACAACCGTGTGAGGAGGAAACTATTCTGAACTCCTTTTAACTTTAATTACTATTATCAGAGTAAAATAACAGTAGTTCAAAATACAGTAGGCTGGGTATGGTGGTGCTATTCCTTTAATCCCAGCACTCAGGAGGCAGAGGCATGCGGACCTCTGTGAGTTCGAGGCCAGCCTGGTCTATAGAGTGAGATCCAGGGCTACACAGTGAGACCCTGTCTTAAAACAAAAAACAAACCAACAAAAGCAAAAAGGAAATAAGCAAAATACTGTAAATTAGCTAGGTAAGGTATATATACCTATAGTCCCACCTCTGGCAAGCTGAGGCAGGAGGATTGCAAGATCCAGGCCAGCGTGGAGACCCTATCTCAAAAACAAATTTTAAAAAGGAAATTAGGAAAACAGTGACCACCACTATATTGTTGTAAGTCACACAGGTTGGTAGTTCTGTTTTATACATAGCTGTCACCCTCTCCGCCTCTGCACACATCTGCCTCTTTCAACTCTTATCTGTCACAGCGTTCTCTGTGTTACCTTTATTTAAAGTGCCAGGGATCAATCTGATGCCTCATATACACCAGATAATCTCTCTACCACCGGGCTACAGCCTCGACTCCTCACGTTTAAATAAAATTCAGTCCCCGAGTTCATGACTTTTAAATAGCCTTGTTTTTCTCCATACAAGTAGGGTCTAGGGATGTTGATCATGAGGTAAGGCCTTAGGTCCAGTTCTCAGTATCACACACACAATTGAGATTTAAAAAAAAAAAAAAAAAAGTGGCTACTCATTGTAAAAATGAATAAACGTACAGTATAGAAAAATGTAAAGAAGAATGCACATATCACCCCCTGTTCTACCAGTCCTAGATGTCATTTTAGGGGGCCTCCTCCCAAACATCTCTGCACATTCTCTTCTACGTAGCAGGAGTCCTGCCGCACAGGCTTCTGTTTCCTGTTTCTGTCCCTTGCAGTGTGTCGTGGATACATAAGCAGCATTTTTAATGGCCAAACTGTACCTTCTACTAAACGTCCCGTCATTTACTCAACCATTTCTCCACTGTTGAGAGAACAACCTCTACAGTATGAGGTGGTTTCAGTTTTGTTTGTTTTTATAATCACAGCCAACATTCACTGAGCATAGACTACATGTTTTGAGTATTTCCCATGGAGTAACTTACGTATTCCCTGAAACATCGCTTTGGGGATGGCATTTTTATTATTCCCATTTACAAATGAAGAAACTGAGGCCCGAGTTAGCACAGACAATCAGTCCTGAAAGCCTGACCCCCAGGCCCCATTTCTTAAAAACCCTCTGCATTTCTCACCTACTTACCCTTTCCCATAGTTGGAATCATTTTCTTATCACAGCACCAGGAGTGAAAAGGGGGGTCAGTAGCCAGGCGGTGGTGGAGCACGCCTTTAATCCCAGCACTCGGGAGGCAGAGCCAGGCCGATCTCTGTGAGTTCGAGGCCAGCCTGGTCTACAGAGAGAGTTCCAAGCCAGTCAGGACTATGTGGTGAGATCTTCTCTCAAAAACAAAATGAAATGAAAATAAAAGAAAGAAAAAAGGAAAAGGGGTCAGTAGAGACCCAGCTGAGAGCAAGGTGGAGGTCAGCGGAGGTCGAGCACATTGGCAGAGACCGTGGAACTGAGAGGGACCAGGGTATCAGAATTGTCTTTGGACATTGTCATCATTAAGAATGGAGGCAGGGCCGGGCGGTGGTGGCGCACACCTGTAATCCCAGCATGTGGGAGGCAGAGGCAAGCGGATCTCTGTGAGTTCGAGGCCAGCCTGGTCTACAGAGCGAGTTCCAGGACAGGCTCTAAAACGACACAGAGAAACCCTGTCTCGAAAAACAAAACACCAACAAACATGGAGGCAGGAATGTTTGGAGAGAAAGTGACATGGCAGGGAGCGGCCTCCGAAGGTCAGCACCGATTTCTGGGAAGGCAGGGGAAGAAGCTCGGTATGGAGCAAAGAGCGCACACACCAACTTCCAGGCCCGGTGGTCCATGGAGTAGAGGAGAGAGAACTGGCCATCCATGGGACCCTGGAGAAGTTTTAGAAATTGGAGAGAAAGGAGAGTGCAGAGCTCAGGGCAGCGGACACCGTAGTCTGGGCTCCAGGTTACCAGCGGCATAGACAGAGGCCTGCTTAGACGACGCTGAGGCGGAAGTGATGGCGAGGTATCCCTGTTGGGGACAGGATTGGTGCAGCATGCAGAGGTCTGGGGCTTGTCTTCGCTCCTGTGGTGGAGCTGATGGATTTGTGAAAGAGAAAATCCAGGGCAGGACCTTGGGGGCCCCTGAGATGCCTCCTGAGGGCGTTTCAGGAAGTCAGCCGTGGACCCCTCAAATCTCTGACGTGTGGTCATGGGCTCTCTTGGAGGCTGTTACTTCAGGGAGATACAGAAATTGCCGTGTTGCCCGAGAAAGAGTTACCGCTTCTAACCAAATAATTCGCTCGTGGAGAATTATGTACTAGGGGAAAAAAATTGCTCTGTGTATTGTCGAAAACAAATCAAAAGAGACGTACAGGAGTCTCAGCACCGGGGCCTGGGTCTAACCTCCTCTCCGCTCCTGTGGTGTCCACAGCGAACCCATCCTACGTGCCCCCACCCCAGTGCCAGCCGGGCGAGTTTGCCTGTGCCAACAGCCGCTGCATCCAGGAGCGCTGGAAGTGTGATGGGGACAATGACTGCTTGGACAACAGTGACGAGGCCCCGGCGCTGTGCCGTGAGTCACCCCTCCCACCCCGGGTGGCCAGGCGGCAAGGCTCTGCGAGTGCCGGTACCTGAGTGGACCGAGACCTGGAGACCCGACCCTCTCACTGACCCCCTGACCTGTTCGCCCTCCCCAGACCAACACACCTGCCCCTCGGACCGATTCAAGTGTGAGAACAACCGGTGCATCCCCAACCGCTGGCTCTGTGACGGAGATAACGACTGTGGGAACAGCGAGGATGAGTCCAATGCCACCTGCTCAGGTGGGGAATGGGTCGGGGCGCCGCAGATGGGGAGCCAGGCCTGGGAAGACAGGGAAGCCTAGGGAAGGAAGGAAAAGAGCCTGTGTGCTCAGAGCGGAGGGAAGGGGTCCTGGGCAGGGGGGTGGGGGTCTACCGTTCCCTGCCAGGATGTGCAGACCAACGGAGGAGCTGGGTTTATGGGGAAGCGGGTACAACTCTAAATGGAGGTGAAGAGAAATGTGGATGGAGCCTTTTCCCAAAGATCCCTGAGACCCCCTTGGGAGATGGAGTCAGGCACCGGTGTGATTGGGGACACCAGAAAATAACACCTCAAACAGAGCAGGCATGGGAGCAGAAGATGATGGGGGAGGGTAGGATAGGAAGAGAGGACTGGATGATGAACACTGCATCTGGCCCCCCACCCCCACCCCAGCTCGCACCTGCCCACCCAACCAGTTCTCCTGTGCCAGCGGCCGCTGCATCCCCATCTCTTGGACCTGTGACCTGGACGATGACTGTGGGGACCGTTCCGATGAGTCAGCCTCATGTGGTAAGAGGGAAGGCAGGGAAGCCGGGCTGGCCGAGGGGAGGGGGCATCTCATGGGTGGGGGCGGGAGAAGCTTGTGTACCTTATCTCTGTGGCCTTGGTGAGTTTTGTCTACATTAGGGATCTAACAGTGGCACCTCCATCACAGCGTTGATTTGGGGGAGCGGGGGGTGGCGGGGGGGGGGGGCGCTCAGTGCTTGCGTTGGTGCCTAGCAGGGGTGAATGAGCAGTGTCCTGATGAGCCTCTCATCCCCATCTGGCTAAAGGCTCCTCCTTATGTAAGGGAGGGCCCCCCTTCACCGCCTGCTCAGCGTGAGAATGTGTGACTTTGAGGGCCCGACTCAACTGTTCCTTCTCCCCACAGCCTATCCCACCTGCTTCCCCCTGACTCAGTTTACCTGCAACAATGGCAGATGTATCAACATCAACTGGCGGTGTGACAATGGTAAGAGTTGACCTCCTCCCCCTCCCCCTCCCTGCAGCTCCTAGGAAAGCCAGGAGCCACCGCCAGGCCCCAGATGGAGAAGGGCGAGATCTTAGACTCAAGCTGGGGTTCTCTGCAGGACACTGAACCCCTGAGGGACTGGCTAAGAGAAAAGAGGAGGAGCCAGGAATGCCATGGGGGCACCAAGGCGGGCGGAGGGAAGGTTCTACCTTGCATCATTCCTGCCTCGGCTGGGCAGAGCTGCCCACCCCTCTGGCAGGATTCAAGGGGCTGAGGAATGTTGAATAGGATTAGAAGGGAAAACAAGGAGCTTCGTGCAGGTCCCCTTCTCCCTCCATGCTCTATCTCCCCGGGTCCTTACTGCATGCCCCAGGCTCTGGGCTTCAGGCTTGGAAGCACACCTGGAGGTCAGCCATGGACCAGGTGATGTCCGCCCTGAGTCACAGAGGCCGCGGTGTGCGTAATCACACGTGCAAGTGATTGTTGTGTGTGCTGTTCCGGGCTCTGTCCTGTCCTGTGGTGTGGTGTGTGGTGTGGTGTGGTGTGGTGATGGGCTGTCCTGGTGGCTCCAGCCCTGGCTCACGTGTGAGGATGGGTTGGGTCAGTGCCGCGATACCCTCCTCCTTGCTGTGTGTCAAGTGCCAATGGTCGTCCCGGCGGTTTCTGTGTTTCAGAGAAGGATTGTGGGGACGGCTCTGACGAAAAGACCTGTCCTGAGCCTGCCGGTCAGTGCATAGAAGCACATGCACCATCACCCCAGAACCCCAGTCCCCTAGGCTCCCCGGCCCAGGGCTGCCGGGGCACACACACACACACAGACACACAGACAGAAGCAGCAGAGGCAGGAGAGGAAATCACAGGGTCGAGGCGGCAGAGAGGACACAGGGGGTAGTTCAGAGGAGAGAGAGCGACAGATACGGAGGACGCTGAGACCGGGGGGGGGGGGGGGGGGGGGGGGGAGGAAAAGCTAATCCAGTCACAGGGGAGCGGGAGCACACTCCAGAGGACCGGCCAGCCTCAGTGTTGTAAGTCCTGTCAGTGCGAGAGGAAGGCCCTCCAGGGCTTAGGAGGCAGGATGTTCACCCAGACACCTACTTCAGAATTCCCTAACCTCAGCTACAGGCGAACCCCCGGGAGTCAGCACCCAGGGCCAGTGTCTGGCCATGTCCAGACTCAGGCCTTTCCAGCCGGCAAGGTCTCACCTAGACCTTCCTTCCTCTCCCAAACCAGAGGAACCTCTACCTAGCCCCCCAGACGTAAGAGGTTCCTGTTCCCACACTCTGCTGCCAAGGATGTCCCCACCCTCAGCTTTCTGAGACTCAAGGGAGGGGTCCTCCTGGAGCCCACCCCTGCCCTCCCCACCCGGTGGGCCATGGTGCATGCTGCAGTCTATGCAGTTTTGTTTCTGTGACTTTTCTGTTTGTTGTTTTCTCCGTGGGTGGCGTGGGGTGGGGTGGGCTGTGGGTGGGAACGCGGGGCCGAGTGGGCCGAGCCGGGGTCACAGAAAAGGTGGTCCCGCTGACCAGGTCTTCCGACTCTCCCCTTCTCCCCCTTCCCCCCCCCCCCCGCCCCCGCCCCAGACAACGACTGTGGGGACAACAGCGACGAGGCCGGCTGCAGCCACTCCTGCTCTAGCACCCAGTTCAAGTGCAACAGCGGACGGTGCATCCCCGAGCACTGGACCTGTGACGGGGACAACGATTGCGGGGACTACAGCGACGAGACGCACGCCAACTGTACCAACCAGGGTGAGTCCCCTGGACCGGCACTCGGCCCGTCTGTCCATCCGTCCACCCGCCCCACCCTGAGGTCGCTGAGGTTTGCCTCTTGTCCTTGAGGAGGCTCCGGTCTCGGGGGGAAAAGAAGAGATTGCTGGCAGATCATTGCCACACTCTGTTAAGATCGAGAGCCTGGCAGTCGGGTGGCCTTAGGTTTGCAGATCTGCAACTTGTTATCTGAGTGGCCTTGGGCAACTTACTTCATCTCTGTGGGCCTCTGAGTTTCCCTTACAAAGTGGGGCGGGCGGCCCTGATAGCGGGGGTTGGTGAGGTAGGCGCAGAAACGCAGCCACAGGGATGTGTCTGGTAGAGCATTGGATTGACGGGACATTTAACCAGGCATGGTGGCTCATACCGATAATCCCACCACACGAGGAGGCTGAGGCAGGAGGATCCATCTCAAGGTGCAAGGTCTGGGCTGTGGAGTGAGGCCCTGTCTCAAAAAGAAAGAAGAGTACAGAGGATTGGAAGGAGCGAGGAAGGCACCCACCCAGTGCCCAGGAGAGGCCTCTTGGGGGAGGCTGAGGTTCCTGGAGGGACCGGCCCTCTCTGGGGGTGTTAGTTTTTTAGCTCTGGACCATCGCTACCATAAAAGACTGCAGATCTACGATTGTTCTGGCTTTTGGAAAAGTCTGAAATGCCTTTTTTCCCCCTGTGATATTTACTCTATTTTAACGCAGGCATATTAGTTTCCTAAGGATTCTGTAGCACATTACCACAAACTGAGTGACTTAAACAACAGGAGCTCACTGCTACACAGTCCTGAAGAGCAAACTGTCCTCAGGGCTGGCTCCTCCCCAGCCATGAAGGAAAGCACGTCCCTGCTTCTCCGGAAACCTTTGGCCTTCCTTTGTGCGAGGTTCTTTACCCTAGCTCCGCCTTCACCGTCCGATAGTGTCTTCCCTGAGTGGGTTTGACCCTGGGTCTGCATTTTTCTTTTTATAGAGACATTAACACTGTTAATTAGGCTTTATGACCCCAGTGATTTCAATCGGCAGAGACACTATTGCCAAACAAGGAGGCCTTGACAGGTGTGGTGGGTGCTTCAGCATCCTTTTAAGGATTGTAGTTCAACTCATGACACCTAACATTTCCTCAAGCCTTACGTGGCCCCTGGCCCACCTGCTACAATCTCTGCCTCAGAGTTAGAATTGTGAATACTGGGTGCCATGGACCACCCGCTGTGCATCCAGCTGAGAGACAGAACCAAGAGGGTCGCGGGAGGATCAGGAAACAGTAACTCGGTCTTCAGGATCGTCTCTAAAAAGGACTTGGGGGTCTAGGAAGGAATCCCTACAGGCTGTGTGAAGCAGGTGTTGCCCAACAAGCTGGGAAGACCTGGATGGATGTCTCCTCTGCCTGGACTTCCCCTGCAGGCAGTCGGTGGAGATGGGATGGGTGGGGCCTGGTGTGTGGGATCAGAGACCTGATTGGCAGCGATAGTTAGCCCGTAGTTCTGAGCTGGCATGGCCTAGGACCCTTCAGGAGGCTGGTGATTAGACTATAGGAGAGTGTGAGACTTCCTCTGGGGGCGGAGGGCGGCTTGGGGACTCTGAAGGTAAAGACGAGAGGAGAAACCGAACACTTCCAGAGGTGCGGGCTGGCCAGGCAGTCGGATGAGAGAGGCCTCCTGCTTTGACAAGGGAATGCGGCTACTCCGGAAGCGGCGACTTCCAATAGCATGTGAGAGTCAGGCCGAGGCTTGACCTGGAGGCAACGGTACAATGTTGGCGACATGTTTTGAAGACAACTCCGGAAGGAAATTAGATTGCAGGCCCCTCAGGGAAGGAGAGTCAGATCATAGGCCGCTGGTGAGAGTTGAGACCTGAGAAGACAGCACCAGGCCTGTCATGGCAGGGAGGATGGAGCAGAGGGCACACTACCAGAGCACAAGACCCAGCCCAGTACCTGGCCAGTGTTCACACTTGGGTGGCATTTCCGCTATGCTGCCGGCCTTACAGGGTCGGATGGAGCAGTGAGCTTGTGCCCCAACCCTGCCCTCAGGCTACACCGGTTCTCTGCACACATGGGAAAAAATTGCTGAGACCTCTGGGCCCCTCACTCACCCACCTCTGACCCATGCTCCGCCTCCTACCCCTTCCCTCCCGACTTCTGACTCTATTGGCCCATCTCGGCTTCACACTGGGTTTTCCTTTGCTAGGTGTGCAGATATCTTAGTGGCTCACGCTCCCTTAATTCCTGTCCCTGCCCAGACGATTTCTGCTCAGAGGCCGTCTTGTCTGAAGTGTCGCCCCACGAGGCTGGCACCATTACTGGTCTTGTCTCCACAGCGTGTGTCCTTGCTCGAAGTCAGAGCCTTGATCTGTCTCCTCCACTAGACTCTAAGTTATGTAGGGGCGGGAACTTGATCTTAGTCTCTGCCAGCCCCTGGGATGGCACATCCCTGGCACTCAGTGAGTGTGGAGTCAATGAGAGAAGCACATTAGGTTGGTGCATTTGAGCTCCGCCCTGACAAAATGCTTAGCGGTCCCACGACCTGAGGGTAGAAAAGGGGCCATTAGATAAGATGACCACTGGGGGCCCTTGAAGGTGTGACAACTGAGTCTCTTGATGGGTGAGGGCTTCCGGGCTATCAGCAGGCTCACAGAATGCCCCAGGCCTCCTCAGCTCGGCATCCAGACTAGGCAGAGGTGGTGGGAAAGGTCTGACCCAGAGTGCCTCTCCCTCCTGATGTACACCCCTCCACCCCCCGCATGCCCCGTCTTCTCCAGCCACAAGACCTCCTGGTGGCTGCCATACCGATGAGTTCCAGTGCCGGCTGGACGGGCTGTGCATCCCCCTGCGGTGGCGCTGTGACGGAGACACGGACTGCATGGACTCCAGTGACGAGAAGAGCTGTGAAGGGGTGACCCACGTTTGTGACCCAAATGTCAAGTTTGGCTGCAAGGACTCAGGTGAAAAGAGGACCAGGGGGGGACCTCAGACGTGGCGGCGTGGGTTAGGAGGAAGCCATCTTGAAAACTTGGCCGTGGCATAGTGTTGTGGGGAGGGGAGGGCCAGAAAGGGCCAGAGTCGCGCGTCAGCACCTCCTGCGGGTTCCTGCCGTCTTAGTCACCCGTGAGAATATGACAGAAAAGGCTTCATGGCTCACCGTGGGCTCCAAAGCACCTCCGTGATGACCCTGTTAGATCAGCCCACTGGGTCTGGGCAGGGCACAGAGAGTCCCAGTTTCCAGGCCTGGCTCCTGAGTGCTGCCCCCGTCCCGTCCCGTCCCTCAGCTCGCTGCATCAGCAAAGCGTGGGTGTGTGACGGCGACAGCGACTGCGAAGACAACTCGGATGAGGAGAACTGTGAGGCCCTGGCCTGCAGGCCGCCCTCCCACCCCTGTGCCAACAACACCTCCGTCTGCCTGCCCCCCGACAAGCTGTGTGACGGCAAGGATGACTGCGGGGATGGTTCTGACGAGGGCGAGCTCTGTGGTGAGGCCCTGGGGTCAGCCGTGGGGAGGGGCGTCTGGGCCGGGAGGAGCGGGCAGTCGTCAGGGCGTGTCCAGCCGTCTACACTGACCTAGGGCTTGCCCTGGCCCTGTGCGAGGCGCCCCACGACCACAGCATTTACTCGACAAGGTGGCCCAGTGAGGCAGCGGAGGAGGCATTAGGGCCCTAAATAAAGTAGTCCAGGGGCTGGAGAGATGGCTCAGTGGTTAGGAGTACATGCTGTTCTTCCAGAAGACCCGGGCTCAATTCCCAGCACCCACCTGGCGGCTCACCACCCTCCGTAACTCCAAGATAAATAAATATTAAAAAAAAAAAAAAAAAAAGTAGTCCAGAGTCATACCACTCTGAAGGCCTGGCAAGGGAGGGAGTGTTTAGGACTTCTGACCTGGAATAGACGCCCTCAGTCGGACCACTGAATAGCGAGGCCAGGCTGGAGGTGAGGTCCAGGGTGGAGGTGTGGTCTGAGCAGACTTCTGGTGGAGGGGAATTTTAACTGGAAATGAGCAAAATGTGCAGAATGAGTGAGTCGGTACAGGGTCAGGTTCAGGGGTGAGTTGAAGGTCTGAGCAGAGCAACCTCACTGTCCCAGAGCAAACAGGACACCTGACTTCTGTGAAAGGGAGGAGTGAAGCCATCTGAGACGGGCCCAGGAACTGCTGACAGGGTGGTAGCAGGGCAACAAGTTCCAGGGCATTCCCCTCTGCGCCCTCCCCCAAATTACACCTGAGCAGGGAGAGATCAGAGGAAGGGCCTTGACCTAAGGACTCTCCCAGAGAGGAGGCAAAATGCCCAGCTCCCCGCCGCCACCGACCCAAGAGGGTACAGGAACATGGCGGAGAGAGGTGTGGGGAGGAAGGGGTGATGGCGCTCGATGTCAGGTTCTGGTGTTCCAATCCTAGTCCTGAGGAGCCTGGGAAGCGAAGTGGGGCCTCGCAGGGGCTGTGGGTAGGGCTCCAGGGCTTGGAATGGGGTCCAAGAAACCTGAAGGCTCCGCAGAGCCTTGTCCTGCCTCCTCCCAGATCTTGACCCTGGACCTGTCCCCTGCCTGTCCCCGCAGACCAATGTTCTCTGAACAACGGTGGCTGTAGTCACAACTGCTCGGTGGCTCCTGGCGAAGGCATCGTGTGCTCTTGCCCCCTGGGCATGGAGCTGGGACCTGACAACCACACCTGCCAGATCCAGAGCTACTGTGCCAAGCACCTCAAATGCAGCCAGAAGTGTGACCAGAACAAGTTCAGCGTGAAGTGCTCTTGCTACGAGGGCTGGGTCTTGGAGGCCGATGGCGAGAGCTGCCGCAGTCTGGGTAAGACGTGGTGGAGTGTGGTGAACCAGCCACGCAGTCCTGGCCATGTCCCTGAGCTGCAGTGGCCAAACACGGAAGGCTGGGGCCGCCGACAGAGACCCTTGGGTACGCCCTTTGCTGACCCGACCGCATGCCTCCCACCAGATCCCTTCAAACCTTTCATCATCTTCTCCAATCGCCACGAGATACGGCGCATCGACCTTCACAAGGGGGACTACAGCGTCTTAGTGCCCGGCCTGCGCAATACCATTGCCCTCGACTTCCACCTCAGCCAGAGCGCCCTCTACTGGACCGACGTGGTAGAAGACAAGATCTACCGTGGGAAGCTGCTGGACAATGGAGGTGACTCGCTGGGTCCGGGAGCGGTGCCAGGATGGCACACAGATGGCACTTGGGCATTCAGGGTCACGGACCCAGATCCAGGTGGCCCCAGAGCGGAGGCTCCAGCTCCCCACCCCCCACCCCCCTGTTAATTGGGTTAGATTTTGCTGTGGGTCTCAGGGCCTGATGCCCATAATTATCGCCAGCATTGCTGCTAAGCCTGATAATTAATGGGACGATCGCCCTTTCCTTGGAATGGCCTGGAGACTGGCTCCCCGACCCTGGAATTTCAGGCTTAGAAGGGAAATGCACGTGGGGCTGGAATACCTGAGCCTCTGTCTCATGGTAGCCTGAGCCATCACAGGCTCAGTATCACGCATCTGTTGTACACTGGGCACCAGACACAGCATTGATCCAGACAGACAGTTTTAAATGATGTGTCAAGGTGGGTCCCCGAGGAGGTGGCATCTGAACGCAGGCAAGAAAAAGGCATGTTTTACTAGAGGAGTTTGTATCGTTGATGATCAAGGAAACTTGAAAACCTCTCAGATGTCCATTGCCAGAATAGCTAAAGGAAACCGATCTGTTCACCACAGTTTCTAAAATAATAAGACGGGTGGACATATTAACGTAGAATATCTTCAGGACACTCTGTGGAGTAATTTCTAGCAAGTTCCAGCATCCTCATACTGTGTCCAAACATGTTTCCAGAAGCTTCCACCCTCCCTGACCTGCTTTCCCAGCTAAGCCCATCTGAGCACCCATGCAGGACGTGGCTGCCCTCACCACCTCCTCCAGGAAACCCCTTTTCCACTCACCTCCTGGTGGGAAGGAGGCCTGGGTGAGGAGAGGGGGGGCCTTGGGGATGCCACCCGTGGGAGCCAGACCCGTCAGAGGACTTGGCAGGAGTGTCAGGGTGAGGGTGGGTCGTTGAGGGACCCTAGGATCTACACCTCCGCCCTGCCCCACCCCCGAGTCTCTAATCACTTTTAACCCTCTCTTCCTAGCCCTGACCAGCTTTGAGGTAGTGATTCAGTATGGCTTGGCCACACCAGAGGGTCTGGCTGTAGACTGGATTGCAGGCAACATCTACTGGGTAGAGAGCAACCTCGACCAGATCGAGGTGGCCAAGCTGGACGGAACCCTCCGGACTACTCTGCTGGCGGGTGACATCGAGCACCCAAGGGCAATTGCCCTGGACCCTCGGGATGGGTGAGGAGTGTGTCCATTCCTTCCTATCCCTCCCTCGCCCTGTGGTCCCCGATGTTCTGTTCCGCCTGGCCAGGGACGCTTGTCTTGGTACTGTTGGTCCCCCCAACATGTTTTACCTGGGGTACTACTACCCCCAACTTTGGTCTTTCTCACTCTCTCCCTAGGATTCTGTTTTGGACAGACTGGGATGCCAGCCTGCCACGAATTGAGGCAGCATCCATGAGTGGGGCTGGACGCCGTACCATCCACCGAGAGACGGGCTCCGGGGGCTGGCCCAACGGGCTCACTGTGGACTATCTGGAGAAGCGTATCCTCTGGATTGATGCCAGGTGAGCATCACTCTCTACCAACTGGGGCTGAGGCGGCAGTACCCGGGCATGGGGAGGGGCAAAGGCACGGCCAGCGCTATGAGAGGATTGGGGGCAAGGGATGGGGAAGACTGGTCAGAAGAAACGCCGGGCTGTGATCTGCAGTTACCCAGCCTCCCCTCGCACACACCCTGTGTCCTCTGCGGAGGGCTCTGCCTGCCCGGAACGAAGAGGAGGTGCCTTTTTTCCTAACTCACACCAGAGCTCCAGGTGCCATCTGCAAGCCTGGAAATCTGGAAGACTCCCCTTGGGGGTCATAAGGCTAGGATCCCAATCCCACCCCATCCCGTCCCCGCTCGGTCTTGCGTTCTTTCTTTGGTCACCCGACGGGGCTCAGGAAAGGCGTTCCCTGGTGTACCCCTGTTGGCGGGGCACCTCGCCGAGACCCTCACTGTTCCCGCGATCACACTCTCAGGTCGGATGCCATCTACTCAGCCCGGTACGACGGCTCCGGTCACATGGAGGTGCTTCGGGGACATGAATTCCTGTCACACCCATTTGCGGTGACGCTGTACGGGGGCGAGGTGTACTGGACCGACTGGCGAACAAACACACTGGCCAAGGCCAACAAGTGGACGGGCCACAACGTCACCGTGGTGCAGAGGACCAACACGCAGCCCTTCGACCTGCAGGTGTATCACCCCTCCCGGCAGCCCATGGGTAAGGAAGGGGCCTGTGCCGGCACGGAGCGTGAGCGTCGGGTAGGGTGGGACCCCGATGGGAAGGACCGGGTAGGGATCGCGTCGTAAGATGTTCTTGCGGTCTTCTCTCCGGGTCAGCTCCGAATCCGTGCGAGGCCAACGGGGGCCGGGGCCCCTGTTCCCACCTCTGCCTCATCAACTACAACCGGACCGTGTCCTGTGCCTGCCCCCACCTCATGAAGCTCAAAGACAATACCACCTGCTACGGTAAGAAGCCGCTTCCCCCCAACGGCCACGGGTAAACTGAGGCCGAAGGGGAGGTCTGAGGTCCCTCGTGTTAAGCAAAGGAATGGCTGAAGGAGGGACTCCCAAACTTCCTGCCACAGCTGTCAGCAGACTGTCAGAGGCGGAACTTCCTCTTTGTAGTGGTTCTCAACCTGTGGGGTCGTGACCCCTTTGGGGGGAGCGAATGACCCTTTCACAGGGGTCGCATATCAGATAGGCTGCGTATTAGATATTTATGATTCGTAACAGTAGCAAAGTTAGAGTTACGGAGTAGCGATGAAATAATTTTGTGGTTGGGGGTCACCACACCATGAGGCGCTGTGTGAAAGGGTTTGAAGAGTTAAGACGGTTGAGAACCGCTGTCATAGTGAAAGCGAACATCATCGGGGGGGGGGGGGGGGGGGGGGGGGGGGGGGGACTCGGGGGAGGGACCTAACCTAGGCAGGAACCCTGAAGGCAAGAGACTGCCTTCGGTGACCGGCCTGCGCCCCACAGAGTTTAAGAAGTTCCTGCTGTACGCACGTCAGATGGAGATCCGGGGTGTGGACCTGGACGCTCCCTACTACAACTACATCATCTCCTTCACGGTGCCCGACATCGACAACGTCACGGTGCTGGACTACGATGCCCGCGAGCAGCGGGTTTACTGGTCCGACGTGCGGACACAAGCCATCAAGCGGGCCTTCATCAATGGCACAGGCGTGGAGACGGTCGTCTCTGCAGGTTCTGGCGCTGTCCCCGACCCCAGGGCTGGCACCAATCATGTCCCCCATAGTCCTGACGTTCTTTCTCCAAACCGCGTCTCTGCTTAGTGCTCTAGCCCCAGTTTCTTCCTTTTTTAAAATTTTATTTATTTGTTTGTTTGTTTGTTTATTTTGGTTTTTCGAGACGGGTTTCTCTGTGTAGTTTCGGTGCCTGTCCTGGAACTCTTTGTAGCCCAGGCTGGCCTTGAACTCACAGAAATCCTCCTGGCTCTGCCTCCCAAGTGCTGGGATTAAAGGCATGCACCACCACCGCCCGGCTAGACCCAGTTTCTTGGCCCTCATTCCCTAGAAACCATATTCTCCTCATCCTCTACCCTGCATATACCAACCACCGACTCCCCGTTTATGCCCTCAGACTTACCAAATGCCCATGGGCTGGCTGTGGACTGGGTGTCCCGAAATCTGTTCTGGACGAGTTACGACACCAACAAGAAGCAGATTAACGTGGCCCGGCTGGACGGCTCCTTCAAGAACGCGGTGGTCCAGGGTCTGGAGCAGCCTCATGGCCTGGTCGTCCACCCGCTTCGTGGGTCAGTCTGCGGCTCGGGGCTGGGGAGCACCCGTGTGAGGAGGGAAGGAGAGGACTCTTACCCTCTCTTGGTCCTCTTCCCAGCAAGCTCTACTGGACCGACGGTGACAACATCAGCATGGCCAACATGGACGGCAGCAACCGCACTCTGCTCTTCAGTGGCCAGAAGGGCCCTGTGGGTACGCGCTCTCCCTGCCCGCTCCTGCAGGCCTCCGACTCCCCAGTTAGGTGTTCCTAGTGTCTCTCTGGTGCCCTCGGCCTCTTCCAATCCCCAGCTTAGTGCCTGTTCTCACCCCAGCTTTTCCCGGATCCATACACCCTTCTCCGTTCCCAGCCCTGGGTGCGGCCCTGGTGCCAGGCTCCGTGGTTGTGACCCCCATTCCTCTCCCAGGGTTGGCCATTGACTTCCCTGAAAGCAAACTCTACTGGATCAGCTCTGGGAACCACACCATCAACCGCTGCAATCTAGACGGGAGCGGGCTGGAGATCATTGACACCATGCGGAGCCAGCTGGGCAAGGCCACTGCCCTGGCCATCATGGGTGAGGGCTTGGCTGGGAGTGGGGGATAATAGGAGGGCAGGCCGGGCGCAGTTGGCAGAATGGATGGTGGGGATCTCCTGGGTACCACTGGCCACTCCGTAAGCCTAGTGACTTTTGCAGGAGGGTTGAGTAGAGGGCTTTCCCAAGGGTCTTATTCCCTCCTGTTGCCCCAGGGGACAAGCTGTGGTGGGCAGATCAGTTGTCGGAGAAGATGGGCACATGCAACAAGGCGGATGGTTCCGGGTCCGTGGTGCTGCGGAATAGCACCACGCTGGTTATGCATATGAAAGTGTACGACGAGAGCATCCAGCTGGGTAGGCAGTGGGCGAGGGGCGTGGTATCCAGAGGGCAGCGGCGGCGGTGGCGGCGGCGGCGGGGGGGATGGGGGTGGTGAGGGGCTTCAAAGCTGTCACCGTGAGCAGCCTGCCGGAGCAGTGGGCCAGGGGAGTAAAGGGTGGGTTGGGCTCCGCTCATCACCACAGGGACCCCTTTTCCTGATCTCCACTGCGGTGTCGCGTAGGCTCGCGGTCTGGCTAGGAGGTCCAAAGGCCTAAAAAGACAAAAGGCCCGAGAGCTGGGTGGGGTGGGACCCTGACGGGTCCAAGGTGAATCCAGTGACCCCCCTGTCACCGAGCAGCCCAAGCCTGTATCTGAGCCTCCCGTGAAGGCCATCTAACCCTTCTGTTCCATCCGCTGCCCTTCCCCAGAGCGCGAGGGCACCAACCCCTGCAGCGTCAACAATGGAGACTGCTCCCAGCTCTGCCTGCCGACGTCGGAGACCACTCGCTCCTGTATGTGCACAGCGGGCTACAGCCTCCGGAGTGGACAGCAAGCTTGCGAGGGTCAGTTCCCGCCACCTCCCGGCCTGACCTTGGACACCCCCACCCCCCCACCCCGCCACACTGCTACATCCTGCATTGGGAACGACGGTGTTCATCACCCGTTACCAGGCGTCTTCAGGGTTCGATGCTCATCACGCATCACTCTTCTGGGTACCATGGATAAAAAGCTTGAGCCAGAAGATGGGGTCAGCCTAGCGAGAAGCTGGACCACGGTCCAGCGTCTGCTGTAGGTGTTGGTGAGGTGGACACCGGGTGACAGAGGCAGGCCAGCTTGGCTGAAGATTGCATGCTGTGCCCTGGGTTTATAGAACGGGTAGAATTTGGTGCTTGGTGCACAATGAAGAAATGGGTCGGTGGTACAGAGGTAGAGTGCCCTTAGCATGCCCTGAGTCCTGAGTTCTAATCCAACCACATGTGCACACGGAGGACACACACACTCATACCATACAAGAGGCAAGAAATGCAGCTAAGCCGTCAAGGGCCAGGGCCCCTGAGCCCGGCGTGGGGCAGAGTGTGGGAAGTCTGTGATAAGGCTGTGAGGGAGGGTGGGGCTCCTGTGGGTTCTCAGTCAGGTGTGCCTGGAAAGTGGTGTTTGGAGGAGATTAACCTGGCGGCAGAACGCTGACAGGGTGGGGGGGAGGGAGAAACCGAGGCAGTTAGACCAGTCAGGAGACCGTGAGAAGTGTGTGTGTGAGGAGACTGGGCTCCGGGCTGGGCAGAGGCTGGCTTTCAGGGGAGGGATGAGACTCGAGACATTTCACAAGAACTTGCTCATTTACAGGCTTGCCCCAGGACAGTACTTTTCCCTAAAGTCCTCTGCCAGAAACTTCCTGCTTTGATGTGGGTGGGTGTAAGAGAAGGGAACTCTGGGCGAGGAAAGTGGAAAACGTGGTTGGTTTTTTTTTTTTTTTTTGTTTGTTTGTTTTTTGCTGCACAGCACCTCAGAGCCTTGAATGTACCTGTGTGCACTGAGCATCTTTCAAGAGAAGACCTTTAGTGTCTGGGGTTCCCCAAATGCACTTGACAATGCTGTTTTTCCTTTCACAGAGCTCAAGCAACCAAGGCCTATTGGGGGGAATTTATCTGGGCACCTATTGTGTCAAAGGGATGGAGATCAGGGAGGATTCTGGGATGCATGGGCAGTGGTGCCTCCTAAGACCTGGGAAAACTGGGAACGAGGCTGGCCCAGGAGCAAGATAGGTGCCGGGAACATTGTGTTGGAAAAGGATTAGGAATAGAGTAGACGCAGGATGAAGAGAAAACTAAGGTCAAAACCAGTGCCAAACTGGGAATCTAGATTTTGGAGTCTCTCCACGGTTGCTGTCTGCTCTGATCCTCACAGCCTCGCCTGAGGGCCTTGGAAGGCACAGGGTTGAATTACGTGGCGGGCCGGGTGCTGAGAAAGAAACCTAAGTCTCTTTCTGCCCTCTGGTGGTGATTATTGGTTCTGCATGTGGTCCCTCCGAGCTGGGGCCCTTAGAGGCTCCACCCAGTCAGGTGAGCAGCCATCTCCCGTCCAGGCTCCAGACCTCAAACCACGGTGTGAGTGTGCCGAGGTCAAGGAGATGACTGGGCGAAACGGTCAGAAGGGACGCCGAGGAAAAGCAGGTTGAGGGTGATAGGAGCCAGGTTTCATCAGTAAGGCGCATGCCTGAAGAGTCCTTGTGTTTCAGGTGTGGGCTCTTTCCTCCTGTACTCTGTGCACGAGGGGATCCGGGGGATCCCACTGGATCCCAACGACAAGTCAGATGCCCTGGTCCCTGTATCGGGAACTTCACTGGCTGTTGGGATCGACTTCCATGCTGGTGAGCTATTGGCCTTGGGGACTGGTCAACATGTCCCGATAGCTTAGCGGGGTGCGTGTGTGTGTGTGAGTGTGTGTGTGTGTGTGGGTGGGTGTGGTGTGTGCAGTCTGAAGTCAGAAGAGCTGCTTCACTCCTTCCTCCCTCCTGTCGGTCGACACCCCGCCCCTCCAGCAAGCGCCCGGCACCTCCAGCCTTCACGTCCCTCTATCCCGACCCTCCACATGGTTTGACCCCCCTTGTTTTGCTTCTGCATGGATGGCCATTCTCACGCCTGCCCCTCTGTTTCCAGAAAACGACACTATTTATTGGGTGGACATGGGCCTGAGCACCATCAGCCGGGCCAAGCGCGACCAGACGTGGCGAGAGGATGTGGTGACCAATGGCATTGGCCGTGTGGAAGGCATTGCCGTGGACTGGATTGCAGGTGCGCTGTGGAAGGGGTGAGAGGCTCTGGGGGGAAAGGCAGAGAGGCCCAGGAGACGCGAGGTCTGAGAAGGTATGGGCAGGAGCCAGCCGGAGCTTCGGGGGAAAATTTGGGTGGAGGGGACCAAGTACCTGGCTCTCTACCAATCTTCCCGAACCAACTCTGTCCTCAGGCAACATCTACTGGACAGACCAGGGCTTCGACGTCATCGAGGTCGCCAGGCTCAATGGCTCTTTCCGTTACGTGGTCATTTCCCAGGGTCTAGACAAGCCTCGGGCCATCACTGTGCACCCGGAGAAGGGGTAAGGAGTTAGGCACGCTGGCTTGGATCTGGCCCTGTCCCTGTGACCACAGTTTATACTGACAAGGCCCAGCGCCTGCATGGTACGGGCTCTGACCCCCGGCTTCCATCCCTACTCCGCAGGTACTTGTTCTGGACCGAGTGGGGTCACTACCCACGCATTGAGCGGTCTCGCCTAGATGGCACAGAGAGAGTGGTGTTAGTGAATGTCAGTATCAGCTGGCCCAATGGCATCTCGGTGGACTATCAGGTATGGACACACCCCGGAGCTGATGGAGTAGGTGGCCCTGTGCCTCTCCCTACCGGTTTCCCTGCGGATAACCAAAATCAGGGTTAGACGTGGACCAGGAAGTGCTCTGGAGTCTTCTGACCCACCCGTCACCTAGAGCAGTCATCTGCCCTAGGATGATGTGGGGGTGGTCATCCCCGCGTGGAATGCGAGAAAGCTGCGTGGGGTAGTGAATGCCTATATAACCCCAGCACTCGAGAGGCTGGGACAGGAGATCACTTCAAGTTTGAGGCCAGTGTTGGCTCTAATAGTGAGTTTAAGACCAGCTTGGGCTACCCAGTTAAGACCTTGTCTTGTAGGCTGTGGTGGCCGCACGCCTTTAATCCCAACACTCGGGAGGCAGAAGCAGGTGGAACTCGGTGGATCTGAGGGCAGCCTGATCTGCGGAGCAAGTTCCAGGACAGCCAGGACTACACAGAGAAACCCTATTTCAAAAAAAAAAAAAAAAAAAAAAGAAAAACAAAAACAAAAAAGACCTTGTCTCAAAAACTTTAAATAAATAGAGAAGAAAGGGGCTGAAGCTGTTCCCTAACGTGCTTAGCCCTGGGTTTAGTCTCCAATACTTCAAACAGTGGCAATAATAATAAATAATAAAAATTTAAAACTGAGGAGCAGAGGGTGTAGCGCTGCCCATACACTTTCTGCTGCCCGGGATGCACACACTGACTAGAAGTTGGGGCCCTGAAGTGAGGTGGGTACTTCTGACCTGCAGGGCGGGAAGCTGTACTGGTGTGATGCCCGGATGGACAAGATCGAGCGCATCGACCTGGAGACGGGCGAGAACCGTGAGGTGGTCCTGTCCAGCAACAACATGGACATGTTCTCGGTGTCCGTGTTTGAGGATTTCATCTACTGGAGTGACAGGTGAGGGCCGTGCCCCGCTTCTCCCGGGTGTCTCTCCTTCCTGGCTTCCTGGCATCCTACTCACGCCTTTCCTCCCTCCAGAACTCACGCCAACGGCTCCATCAAGCGCGGGTGCAAAGACAATGCCACAGACTCGGTGCCCCTGAGAACGGGCATCGGGGTGCAGCTTAAAGACATCAAGGTCTTCAACAGGGACAGGCAGAAAGGTGAGGCTGGGCGGTGGGCCAGGGCAGCCTGGTCTGGGAAGAAGAGGGGACAGGAGAAAAGTCGGAGCCTTCAAGGAACTTTCCAGTGACTCACAAGAGCTGGGGGCGGAAAGACTGAGCAGCAGAACAGATCTGGGTATTGGATACGATACCTTGGCTGAGCAGGGTTCGGCTGAAATTTCGAGCCGGGATCCCAGGGGACAGAGGCACCAAAAGAGCCTTACACTGTACACTGAACTACCTTCCGATGCTCTCTGTCCCCAGGTACCAATGTGTGTGCAGTAGCCAACGGTGGTTGCCAGCAGCTGTGCCTGTACCGGGGTGGCGGACAGCGAGCCTGTGCCTGTGCCCACGGGATGCTGGCAGAAGATGGGGCCTCGTGCCGGGAGTATGCCGGCTACCTGCTCTACTCGGAGCGTACCATCCTCAAGAGTATCCACCTGTCGGATGAGCGCAACCTCAACGCCCCGGTGCAGCCCTTTGAAGACCCCGAGCACATGAAGAACGTCATTGCCCTGGCTTTTGACTACCGAGCGGGCACCTCCCCGGGGACCCCTAACCGCATCTTCTTCAGTGACATCCACTTCGGGAACATCCAGCAGATCAACGACGACGGTTCCAGGAGGACCACCATCGTGGAGAGTGAGCCGAGCCTGAGTCCTCCCCAGGAGGGGTGTGGAGGGGTGGTCAGCGCGGACTCACAGGCACCCACCAACTCACCTGCCATGTGGTCCTCAGGCAGGGGTTCTCAGCCTGTGGGTCGAGACCCCCCGTGTGGGGGCAAATGACCCTTTCACAAGGGTGGCATGTCAGATTTGCTACATATCAGATATTTACATTACGATTCATAACGGTAACGAAATTACCGTTATGAATGAAGGAGCAGTGAGAATAATCTTATGGTCAGATCACCACAACATGAGGAACCGTGTTAAAGGGTCGCAGTGTTAGGAAGGTTGAGGACCGCTGTCCTAAGGGCTGGCCAGATCCACTGCCGGTGTACTAACCTGCACATTTTCACTTGTTTGGAGCCAGAAGGAGGCCGGTTCCTTCCTGGCACCGTTTCCATTCTGCCCCAGGATACACACCACCGGCAGCAGACGTGGGCCCAGGTGCAACTCTGGTCACGTAGGATTCAGTAACTCCAGCGAGCGTCCTACCTGACCTCAGCCAGGGTCTTTTTCCCCCCCCCCACTCCCCACCCCCAGACAAGGTTTCTGTGTGTAACCCTGGCTGTCCTGGAACTCACTCTGTAGACCAGGCTGGCCTTGAACTCAGAGATCTCCTGCCTCTGCCTCCCAAGTGCTGGGGTTAAAGGCGTGCACCACCACCGCCCAGCGTAGGAGTCAGGGTCTTAGAAGCGTGCTCATACATGCAGGCTGAGCTCAGCCTCCAGAGGCTCTACCAGAGCAGTGAAAACCTCAGAGCTGTCCGCGGAAGACAGCCTTTCAGCTCTTTCGTACGGTCCTTTGCCCCTTCTGTTTTCTCAGCTTCAAGCTGTCTGCTTGGCATCTTTGGCCCATTTGCCACCCACCCACCCCCCACACCCCCCACACCCCCTCACCCACCCACCCACCCCCGCACCTTTTTTTGAACTTTCTTTGTAGCCACAGATGGCCTCGATGTGAACATCTGATCTTCCTGCCTGTGCCTTGCCCTGCCCCAGTGCTGGGCTCATCGGGGGTTATAGGTGTGCACTACTTAGCCTTTTTTATATGTACTAGGACTTGAACCCAGAGCCTAGTGCATGCTAGGCAAGCGCTGTCACCTGAGGTTCATCCTCAGCCCCCATTAGTTCCCTCTCTTCATCGACAGGTCCATACAGACCATCCAGGCACTGAGCGAGGCACAGCATATGTAGCCTATACAGCAGCAGCAGAACAGGCCCGTCCTTTCAGAATTCTGGGACATTTTCTCCACAATGTCCTGTCTGTGTCTGAAAATGGAGTGTCCAAGGGCTGGTGGAGCTCAGTGGTGGAGTACGTGCTTAGCATGTACAGGACCTTGGCTCCATCCCCAGCCGCTAAACGGGATACTCCTAATCTCAGCTCCATCAGGAGAGACTAGGAGCCGGCCCCTCCCTTCACGCTGTCCGTCCTACAGCGTACTCGGCCTCTGGCAGCCACACAGAGGTGCACTGAGGAGCCACTGAGCCTCCCCTGGCCGTGGCCTGCACCACGGTCGAGCTCTGACTCTGTTCATGTTCTTTAACCCGACCTCGAGTCTGCTTTACAAAACGTTCCGGCTCAAGGCCTCTGGAAGTAGGGTCCTTCCAGTCTGGGCCCAGGAGGATTCAGTTACCTGAGACCTCTGCACCACGGATAAACGGAACCCCAGCTCAGAGTATGACATAGGCCGAGTGTCGGGGGGCAGGGGAAGAGAAGGAAGGTGGGCACAGGTGGTGTGATAAGGTGACATGGAGGTGTTGAGGTGAGTCTCTGAGCTACACTCCCACATCCCACAGTTCCTCGGTGGAATAGGGCCTAGTCATCCGCTTTGCGCCTGCCAGGCTGCCCCTCAGCTTCTCTCTGGCCCCTCTCAACCCACAGCTGCTTCTGTCTCTTCACAGATGTTGGCTCTGTGGAAGGCCTGGCCTATCACCGCGGCTGGGACACGCTGTACTGGACTAGCTACACGACATCCACCATCACCCGCCACACCGTGGACCAGACGCGCCCGGGGGCCTTCGAGAGGGAGACAGTCATCACCATGTCGGGAGACGACCATCCAAGGGCATTTGTGCTGGATGAGTGCCAGAAGTGAGCTGCTGGGCCCGAGGGGTGGGGAGCGGTGGGGACCTAGCGGGGAGCGGGAGTGGGAAAGGCCGGCGCCGCTGTTTCTTGCTGTGTGGCCCCCGAGAGATGCATAATCTCTCTGAGCTTGAGTTTCCTCCATGATGTAGAACAAGGATGATAATTCAAGTGTCAGAACCCAAGGGAAGGTTGAGGGCTGTAGGGGATGCTTTGTGATCAGCATTCGTCACCCAGCCATGTTCAAAGCATGACTAAGTACCTTGTGACGCTAGGACTCAAAGCGTCCACGAAGGTTCACTGAACCTGAGCATGTGGAAGGCCTGGGCTGGGCCTGCTCAAGCCCCCTAGCTGAGCAGAGGTCTCAGCCGTGTACAGTGACCAAGGGGCACCGTGAAGGCGGTTGTGGGCACAAGGCCTCAAAGCAGGAAAAGCAAGAAAGGAGCAGGACAGGAGGACAGCAAGGGGACCGTCTACCGCACTGGGCATGGCAGGCCTGAGCAGGGCAGGGAAGCTGGCCCGCCTGTCTCCAGCTTGCCCTGGTTTTTCCTCATTTCGCTGGGTGGGCCGCTGGCGAGCCACACCCTCCCCATAGCAGTCCTGGCTTGTGTCTGACACACACACACACACACACACACACACACACACACACCCCGCCCCTGTCCCAGACCAGCTAGCGTTGGAATGTTTATCAACAGCTTCACTAGGAAACAAAGGAACCAACAAACCCCAGAAACAACTACACAGGGTGGTGAATATGACCCTCATTCCTCATCTTGGCATAACTCTAGCCAGATCCCTCCCAGGAGGCCCAGCACAAGGACCCTCTGTTCCCCTCTGCCTCAGCTGTCTGAGGACACAAAGATTCCCTGCCCCAGACCTTGGTGACCTCACCTGTCTGGGCTGGCCCCGGGTCCTGTCCTCCTGGGCCTGGAGCCTCCCGGGAGAGACTGTCATGCTAAGTTTTCTGCCATTCTAGAAAAGACAACCACCTTGTTACCCCGGGTTCCTCTCGGCTGAGCCCAGGAAAATGCCCTCCCCATATCCCAGGGCCAGTGGTTTCTGAAAAACCAAAATACATAGAGAATGGACGAGGCGGCAAGAATGCCGAGCCCCGTCTACTCCTGTGGAGGATAGAGGACAGCATGACCGTGCCAACAGCTTGCCCTGGCTGGAAGTCTGGGAGCATGTCCGCAGGGAGGCAGCTCAGGGCAATCTGAGGAGCGACTGGAGGACACCCATGGCGCACGGCACCTGAGGAGAGACACGAGATTGTCTCGGGGACCTGGTAGGAGCTAGTGAGTCAGGATAGAGGCCCAGCCATACTTTTCCTGAGCCCCACCGGAGCACTGCTGGTCTTGGGAAGCATACAGTGGACAGGTAGAAAGTCCACCGTGTTCCTAGCTGCTGGCCACCTACTCCAGGAGAGCCTCCCCTCCCCCATCACACTATCCCACAGAACGGCTTTGCCAAACTCTTGACCCACGGTGCGTCCCATGTGAGCCAGGTTGATGCTCTGCTGTGAGTGAGGACCTGAGGGCGTGGAAGCCGCTGGCTAGAATGTACAGAGTCAAGAAAGAACACTTAGGCCAGGCACGCCTCTAATCTCAGCATCCGGGAGGGTAGAGGTAGGAACAGTGAGTTGAGGGTCATTAGCTACATAACTAGTTGAAGGTTAGCTTGGGATACATCAGGCCTTATCTGAGGAATGGAGAGAGGAAGGGATTGAGCAAGAGAGAATGGTATAGCTGGTGTCCCCGGACAGGCTGAATGAGATGCCACCTTCATCCATAAAGAGTTCTCTCACTAGCCAGGGATAGTGCTGCCTTTGGGAGGCAAAGACTGGCAGATCTCTGAGTTCGAGGCCAGCCTGGCCTACAGAGTGAGTTCCAAGACAGCCAGCGTTACACAGAGAAACCCTGGGGAACAGAGCCTACAAGGACCTCCAAGGAGACGAGTTTTGCTGTGATAGATTTGAGTCGGGAGAATAAAGAGGTGGAAGAGGACTGAGATGTGGCTCAGTGGGTAGGCTGCTTGCCTGGCATGTGTACAGTCCAGAGTTCAAACCCCAGCACTGCATAGACCTGGGATGATTCCTATAATCCCAGCACTTGGAAGACGGAGGCAGGAGGATCAGAAGTTAAAGGTCATCCTTGGCTACAGAGGAAGCTCAAGGCAAGCCCAGGTTGGAGATCTGTGAGAGCAGGGAGGGGCTGAGGCCTGGGTGGCCCAGGGCGGGTTCTATTCCGAAACTGTTTTTTATGTTCTTGGTGCGTCTCAAAGGAAGGTGTGTATAAAGGGTTCACCACCCCAGGTCAGGTGACTGAGTCTCAGGAATCAAGGTCGGAGGGTGACCATGCTGCCACAGTTGTGTTTGATGTCCCCTGAGGTCCTCAAACACCCACAAGCCACAGGGCATAGCTGAGGGTCAGACCCCAGATTCACAGAGGCCTTAAAATTGTGGAGAAAGCAAATTTTGAGGGCGCGGCCCACGTGTGCCCAAGACCAAGGAGACAGTCAACACTTAGCAAGGGTTTCCTGGGTAGTTCGGTAAAGAGCTTCAGTACAGAGAGAGCAGTTAGCCATAAACTCACAGAAAACTCTGTCCTTGAGATGAATACACACTGTTTAATTTTTACAACCCTCTGTCAGGCAGCAGTATTATCCCCCACTGAACAAGGGGAAACTGAGGCACGGAGTGCCCACGTAAGTTGCCCAAAGGCACCTAACTGGAAAGTGGTGGAGGCAGGACAGGGGACCGGGAGCCCAACCTGCTTGTCAGCCCAGTCTCCTGTCTCAGCAAACGCAGGTGGTCCTTTCCCACACCACAGCGCATCCCTGCGGGTACACGCAGTAAATCAGGTCTAGCCATGTACTGCAGTAACTGCGCGTTCAGTGGTTAGGCTCTTCTCGGGCACCTAGGCTGTGTTGGCCTTTGCGGCTGTCAGGTTGGGGAGCACATCCTGGGTTCTAGTTGTCTCCGAGGTTTCAAGGCAGACCCTGAGGTTCCTGACCCCTCTGCCCCCTCCGCCCCCTCCCGCCAGCCTGATGTTCTGGACCAACTGGAACGAGCTCCACCCGAGCATCATGCGGGCAGCCCTCTCGGGAGCCAATGTCCTGACCCTCATTGAGAAGGATATCCGCACGCCCAACGGCCTGGCCATCGACCACCGTGCGGAGAAGCTGTACTTCTCGGACGCCACCTTGGACAAGATTGAGCGTTGCGAGTACGACGGCTCCCACCGCTATGTGAGTCTGTGGGGCAGGTGGGCGGGGACGTGAGGGGAAACCAAGTCAGAACCGCCAGGCTGCCCAGATACAGAGCACCAGACAGGGAGACCCAAGAGAATAAAAATTCCCACCCGCGGTCTTGCCTTTGCCCTGGGGGGTTCTGACGTCACTTAGACGAGGCAGAAGGCACGCCGCATCCACAGATCCTTCCCATTCCGTAACTTCCCAGGCCTCCCTTGCCCTGCCCCCACTGTAGAGTCAGGATTGGTAAGAGGGCCTGAACCACATGGGCACACTCACGCTCCTGTCTCAACAGGTGATCCTAAAGTCAGAGCCCGTCCACCCCTTTGGGTTGGCGGTGTACGGAGAGCATATTTTCTGGACTGACTGGGTCCGGCGGGCAGTGCAGCGGGCCAACAAGTATGTAGGCAGTGACATGAAGCTGCTGCGTGTGGACATCCCCCAGCAGCCCATGGGCATCATCGCGGTGGCCAACGACACCAACAGCTGTGAGTGGGGCCTGCCGCCAGCCTTGTGCTCCTGTTCTCTACGCGCGCGCATGCGCGCGCGCACACACACACACACACACACACACACACACACACACATACACACACACGTGTACCTTACAGTCTTGTGTCTCTCTGGACTTCTGTTGTATAGATAAATATCTTTACATGCCTTCAGACCTCCCTAAACTCCAAACGCCCTAATATTCCTCAACCCCAGCTCCCTCAAGACATCTGTAGACATGTGTGGACTTGACATACTTGGGTCCATCTCGTGCAAACTGCCCACACAAACACACATTTGTATTGCTCTAGGAGCTGTCCCCATCTCTGGAGATCCTGTCACAGGGCTTAGTAATTCCCTCCACCCAAAGCTACCCACACCCCAAACCTGACCTCATACCCACATACCAGGTGCAGCCTATGCCCACCCTCATGCCTGTACATAAACACACATACCTACACCTGGCCCAGATGATCTGGTGCGCCTACATCTGTGTGTGTATGTGTGTGTGTGTGTGTGTGTGTGTGTGTGTGTGTGTGTGTGTGTGTATGTGTGTATTTCACTAACAGGCTTTCCCAAGTCTTATGCACACCCTTGGCCACCACTATACACACATCTCAACACTTCTTAACCTACAATCTCCTTCAAGATTCATCTCAAAGCCCTCAGTGCCCACGCACCCCAGCACCCCAGCACCCCATGCCAGGCCCTCCCCACTGCTGTGAACCCCCCATGGCTGCTGGGGTCATACCGAGCCCTGGAATACTAGGTGGGCATCTTGGGAGTGTGCAGAATAGGAAACAGCCTGCAGCTCGCTGTCTCCCTGTCTCCGCTCAGGTGAGCTTTCCCCCTGCCGTATCAACAATGGAGGCTGCCAGGATCTGTGCCTGCTCACCCACCAAGGCCACGTCAACTGTTCCTGTCGAGGGGGCCGGATCCTCCAGGAGGACTTCACCTGCCGGGGTGAGGGAGCTCGTGGGAGCTGGGGTAGAGGCTGCTGGTGGGGACCTCAGTACGACAAGGGGCCCTCCTTCTAGACTCCAGCCCAGGCTACAGAGCTGGACTCGGGCTGGGCCCCAACTCACGGAACCCTCTCCATCCCCAGCCGTGAACTCGTCCTGTCGGGCACAGGATGAGTTTGAGTGCGCCAATGGCGAATGCATCAGCTTCAGCCTCACCTGTGACGGTGTCTCCCACTGCAAGGACAAGTCTGACGAGAAGCCTTCCTACTGTAGTAAGGAGCCCACCCCAGCCTCTCCTCTCCTCAGACTGCGGCCGCCTAGGACCTTCTCCCCCAGACCCCTGCCCCCCGTGGCCCAGCTCCGTAGTCTGAGCTCATAAAGGGCAGAATGATTAGTCTGAACCGGGACCCTAGGAGGGGGCTAAAGTCGTCAGAGGTCACACACACACACACACACACACACACACACACACACACACACACACACCCGTGCCTGCTGTGACCGCACACATCCCCCCGCCCCCCTGCAGACTCCCGCCGCTGTAAGAAGACTTTCCGCCAGTGTAACAACGGCCGCTGTGTATCCAACATGCTGTGGTGCAATGGGATGGATGACTGTGGGGACGGCTCGGACGAGATTCCCTGCAACAGTGAGTGGGATCCTGCAAGCCCCAGCCTCAGCCCCCGACCTTACCCCCGGTTACGTCTCAGCCTCCACCATGTCCTCACTCTGGCCAAGCATGTCCTCACCCCAGGCCCAAGAGAGCTGGTTCAGGGCACTCCAAAGACAGGCTGGAGCTCTGTCCTGGGCCTTTGTGGCCCTACAGAGGGACTTTGGGCCTGATGGTACTCACGGGCCCTGTTCTAGAGACAGCCTGTGGCGTGGGCGAGTTCCGCTGCCGGGATGGGTCCTGCATCGGGAACTCCAGTCGCTGCAACCAGTTTGTGGATTGTGAGGACGCCTCCGATGAGATGGACTGCAGTGAGTGCCACCCCTCCCATGCCCACTCCAGCCTCAGACCATCTCTGTCCCTTGTCCCTCCTGCCTCAGGCTGTTCCGCCCTATTTCCTCTCAGCCTTCCTGGCCCCACGTAGCAGCTTTTGTAGCCTTTTGGGCCCTGTCTCTGTCCCGCTTCCTGCTCCTGGGATCCATGGAGGGAGGGAGGGAAGGAGCAGGTAGGAAGGGCATCTTAAGCTTTCTGAAAACCAAGGCACCATGGGGCCAGCAGCTGCTCCCAGGGTGTGTTTTAGAGGGAACTGGGTATGACCCGTCTTTGTTAGGGTTTCTGTTGCTGTAAAGAGACACCATGACCGGGCTGGAGAGACGGCTCAGAGGTTAAGAGCACTGCTTGCTCTTCCAAAGGTCCTGAGTTCAATTCCCAGCAACCACATGGTGGCTCACAACCACCTGTAATGAGATCTGGTGCCCTCTTCTGGCCTGCAGGAATATGTACAGATAGAACACTGTGTACATGATAAATAAACCTTTAAAAAAAAAAAAAAGAGACACCATGACCATGGCAACTCTTATAAAGGAAATGTTTAGTTGGGGTGGCTCGCTTACAGTTTCAGAGGTTCAGTCCATTATCATCATGGTGGAACATGGCAGTGTGCAGGCAGATGTGGTGCTGGAGAAGTAGATGAGAGTCCTGCATCTTGCAGGCAACAGGAAGTCAACTGAGAGACTGGACAGTATCCTGAGCCTAGGAAACCTCAAAGCCCGCCCCCACAATGACACACTTCCTCCACCAAGGCCACGCCCACTCCAACAAAGCCACACCTCCTAATAGTGCCACTCGCTGTGAGATTATGGGGGCCAACGACATTCCGACTTCACAGCCCCTCCCCTCCCGCTCCTTCCACCAGGTGCCACTGACTGCAGCAGCTACTTCCGCCTGGGTGTGAAAGGCGTGCTCTTCCAGCCTTGTGAGCGGACGTCCCTGTGCTATGCACCCAGCTGGGTGTGCGATGGCGCAAATGACTGTGGAGACTACAGTGACGAGCGGGACTGCCCAGGTCAGCCGGTGGTAGCTGCCGGATCCAAGGTAGGCCCGGGGCGAGCAGCAGGGGCGGTGTCTTCACGCCTCCCTTCCAACCCCAGGTGTGAAGCGTCCCAGGTGCCCCCTCAATTACTTCGCCTGCCCCAGCGGACGCTGCATCCCCATGAGCTGGACGTGCGACAAAGAGGACGACTGTGAACACGGCGAGGATGAGACCCACTGCAGTGAGTGGCCGAGTCCCCTAGCACCCCGAGCATCCCCCACGGCGGGCATGAAGACCCTACCCGGGCCCCACCCGCATGGTCCTTATGGGACGTGCCCTTCACGGAGGAGACCCCGGCCTTTCCATTATGCCTCACTCCCTCAGACTCGAGACTAGGGTCACACCTCAGCTCTGGATGAGCCTCTCGGGAAGGGATGCCACAGGCATCTCTCCTGGCCCACCTGCCATCCCTCCCTCTCCACCTCACTGCGTTCTCCAACTCTTCCAGACAAGTTCTGCTCGGAGGCCCAGTTTGAATGCCAGAACCATCGATGTATATCCAAGCAGTGGTTGTGCGATGGCAGCGATGACTGCGGGGACGGCTCCGATGAGGCGGCTCACTGTGGTAAGGCGGAACCTGAACCGGATTCAGGGAGGTGCCCCGAGAAGGGGAGTCCACACATCAGTGGGGCGTGTCGTCGCCCTGGCTGCCCGCTTGGCCCGGTCCCCTCCTGAGCCCGTCTGTGTCTCCCTTGCTCCTCACGCAGAAGGCAAGACCTGCGGCCCGTCCTCTTTCTCCTGTCCCGGCACCCACGTGTGCGTCCCCGAGCGCTGGCTCTGTGATGGCGACAAGGACTGCGCGGATGGCGCGGATGAGAGCATCTCAGCCGGCTGCTGTGAGTGGGGGAGGCCGCGAGGCCCGCGTGGGCAGCAAATGCTGGCAAATGAGGCCAAGGGTGGGAAGGAGTTCAGTGGGAGCCCCATGTTTGGGTAGTGCAGAGCCATGGCTTTAGCACCTGGGTCCAGACCGCCCCGCCTCCCCGGCGCCCCGCCTCCCCGGCGCCCCGCCTCCCCGGCGCCCCGCCTCCCCGGCGCCCCGCCTCCCCGGCGCCCCGCCTCCCCGGCGCCCCGCCTCCCCGGCGCCCCGCCTCCCCGGCGCCCCGCCTCCCCGGCGCCCCGCCTCCCCGGCGCCCCGCCTCCCCGGCGCCCCGCCTCCCCGGCGCCCCCGCCTCCCCGGCGCCCCGCCTCCCCGGCGCCCCGCCTCCCCGGCGCCCCGCCTCCCCGGCGCCCCGCCTCCCCGGCGCCCCGCCTCCCCGGCGCCCCGCCTCCCCGGCGCCCCGCCTCCCCGGCGCCCCGCCTCCCCGGCGCCCCGCCTCCCCGGCGCCCCGCCTCCCCGGCGCCCCGCCTCCCCGGCGCCCCGCCCATTCCACCTCTCCCATCCCAGGAACCCCAGGATGGCGGGCGCTCGTAGGGAAGGGCTGGAGCAGGGCGGGCCTGAGAGGGGCTTCTGTCTCTGTCCCCAGTGTACAACAGCACCTGTGACGACCGTGAGTTCATGTGCCAGAACCGTATGTGCATTCCCAAGCATTTCGTGTGTGACCACGACCGGGACTGTGCCGATGGCTCCGACGAGTCCCCCGAGTGTGGTGAGTCCTGTGGCTGGAGGGGACAGGCCCCTGCCCAGCGGTGATGGTGCTGTGCCATGTGCCAGGGTGGCGCCTCATCGTCCCCTGCCCCGACACACAGAGTACCCCACCTGCGGCCCCAACGAGTTCCGCTGCGCCAACGGGCGCTGTCTGAGCTCCCGTCAGTGGGAGTGTGACGGCGAGAACGACTGCCACGACCAGAGTGACGAGGCCCCCAAGAATCCGCACTGCACCAGCCCAGGTGAGCCTCGTGGGCCGCTGGCCCCCTGCCCGCTCCCTCCTCCTTCCTCTCTTGTGACCCCACTGACCTGTACCCGCCGCCCGGCCCTCCCTCCGCAGAGCACAAATGCAACGCCTCGTCTCAGTTCCTGTGCAGCAGCGGGCGCTGCGTGGCCGAGGCTCTGCTCTGCAACGGCCAGGACGACTGCGGGGATGGCTCGGATGAACGTGGATGCCATATCAACGAGTGTCTCAGCCGGAAGCTCAGTGGCTGCAGCCAGGACTGCGAGGACCTGAAGATAGGCTTTAAGGTACGCACCCCCCCCCCCCCCAAACCTGGCCAGAACAATTTGCTCCACCCCCTCGTTCCTACATCAAGTTCTTACCGAGCACTCACCAGGCAGTGTGCTGGGCTCTGGGGATGTAGCAGGGGCAGACAGAAGGACCTGTTAGGTCAGAGCCTCCATCTGTGTGGGTTTGTTCACAGATCAAGGCTAGGAGAGAATGGGTGGGGCTGTCAAGCAGGCAACGGAGGATATTATGTAGCTCCCGGGCTCAAAGGAAAGGCCCAGCCTGGGAGGAAGAATTGTTATCCTGGAGATGCTGTCTAAATCCCCAAGGAAATGAATATAGATGGTAAAGAGCCTTAAGTCCTCGCTAAGCTATGCTGAGGGACCGGGAGATGAGAGACCCGTACGGCAGGGGGATGTGAGGGACACCACCAAGGTAGGCTGACGGCCACGTGAGGAGAGCTCGGGGGACAGGGTGCACACGGCCTGTGTACCGTTTGTCTTCCCGTGCCCTCCTGGGGTCCTCCCGGCCCCTGGTTTTCAGAAGGGGAAGCCCAGGCCCCCCGCTATGTATATCCTCAGCCCCAGATTCCCTCTACCCACAGTGCCGCTGCCGCCCCCGGCTTCCGGCTCAAAGACGACGGCAGGACCTGTGCCGATGTGGATGAGTGCAGCACCACCTTCCCCTGCAGCCAGCTCTGCATCAACACCCACGGCAGTTACAAGTGTCTGTGCGTGGAGGGCTACGCGCCCCGTGGTGGCGACCCCCACAGCTGCAAAGCCGTGACGGGTAAGACGGCCAGGTGGAGGGTGAGATACGGGTCAGGCAGCTGTGGGCTGGGGCGGGAGGGGAGTGGTGGTGGGGGGCAGGTCGGGAGAGGGCGGGGCGTGGGACGGTACGGCTGAAGATGGGCTGCTAGAATGGGCCTGAGCCAGGACCCTCTGCCTACAGACGAGGAGCCCTTCCTCATCTTTGCCAACCGGTACTACCTGCGCAAGCTCAACCTGGACGGCTCCAACTACACACTGCTTAAGCAGGTGCCAGAACCCAAGCCTTCCTCTTTACCCGTCGACTGCCCGGGCCCAGTACAGCCTCCCCGGCTCTTCCCACTTGTGCCCATGGTTGTCTCCTACGGCCTCTCCCTCCAGCCACGTCCTGACTTCAGACAGCCCCTCCCCAAACGCACACGTGTCCAGCAGCAGCCGACTCCCCTGTCTGTCCCCGTTCCCAACCCAGGGCCTGAACAATGCCGTGGCTTTGGACTTCGACTACCGAGAGCAGATGATCTACTGGACCGACGTGACCACCCAGGGCAGCATGATCCGAAGGATGCACCTGAACGGTAGCAACGTGCAGGTGAGGAGAAGGGCCACCCCTGGTCAGCTGACAGGTACACCAGGGGCCCCACAGATGGGCCCCACACCCCTCGGCACACGGCTCATCGGCACACGGCTCATCTCCCCTGACGACACTGCTTCTTCCTCCTCACCGAGCCACAGAAACATCCTGCCTGTTTTAACTTCTCCCTCCCTGAACTCAGAGAGCAAGCACACAGACATGCTTCCTGCCTTCCCCGCACTGTGTGCTGCGGTTCTGTGTGTGTTTGTGTGTGTGTGTGTGTGTTGGTGTTCCTGGAGCCTCTGCTGATAATCGGCGTCGGTCTCGGGGAGGACATATTAGATGTCATCTTCCTAACGAAGCCAGGAGCTGTGTTCCCTTTCACAGGAGGGAGAGGCCAGGCCCCAGAGAGACTGAGGGTTCCACTCAGGCGCCCTCTTCCCTGTGTTGCCTACAGGTGCTGCACCGGACAGGCCTTAGTAACCCCGACGGGCTGGCCGTGGACTGGGTGGGTGGCAACCTGTACTGGTGTGACAAAGGCAGAGACACCATTGAGGTGTCCAAGCTTAACGGGGCCTATCGGACCGTGCTGGTCAGCTCTGGCCTCCGTGAGCCCCAGGGCTCTCGTGGTGGACGTGCAGAATGGGTAAGTGGCCAAGAGGGGCGGCGGTGGGGCGGGGGAGCCCCGGAAGCAAGCCCAGACTCCCTGCAGGCTTCTGGCGTCGTCAGTCTCTAGATTCTTGGGGTTCCCTGCCCCCCTCCACCTGCCAGGTACCTCTACTGGACGGACTGGGGTGACCACTCACTGATCGGTCGGATCGGCATGGATGGGTCTGGCCGCAGCGTCATTGTGGACACGAAGATCACATGGCCCAATGGTCTGACCCTGGACTATGTCACGGAACGCATCTACTGGGCTGATGCCCGTGAGGACTACATTGAGTTTGCCAGCCTGGATGGTTCCAATCGTCATGTTGGTCCGTATGCCAGCGAGGCCGCCCAAGGCCTGCCTGGGGGTCTAAAGTGATGGGGTAGGGTTTAGGGGTGCAAGAAGGCATAGTGTATACAGAAACCACAAACCAGGAGCCTGGGGGTTTCAAATACCCTGGTGTTTCCCCTCGACTGGCCCAGGCACCAGGCCACAATCCAGCTCCTTGCACCGTGTGTGTGTGTGTGTGTGTGTGTGTGTGTGTGTGTGTGTGTGTGTGTGTGTGTGTGCGCGCGCGAAATTCCATGTTCAGCCCAGGATGATGGTCTGAGGGTGGGCACATGAGAACTATCTGAGCAACATCTGTGATCCGTACTTCCGTGGAGGATCTGTGTGCTCCTCTAGATCAGCAGTGTGGTTGTTGGACAGGCCATCACTATATACAACCTTAGGAAGCCATAGAAACATCTGGAACTGGGGTTCGTTCCCAACTCAGGGTTGTGATGGGAGCCGAGGAGGTCAAGTAGGCGCGGAACCCAGTCTCTACTTGTTGCCCAACTGCCGCTGTGTCTTCCTCCCACAGTGCTGAGCCAAGACATCCCACACATCTTTGCACTGACCCTGTTTGAAGATTACGTCTACTGGACAGACTGGGAGACAAAATCCATCAACCGAGCCCACAAGACCACAGGTGCCAACAAAACACTCCTCATCAGCACCCTGCACCGGCCCATGGACCTTCATGTCTTCCATGCCCTGCGTCAGCCAGATGGTAAGCAAGCCGGCTCGGGGTGCGGGAGACATGGGGACCAGGCATGAAATGCCTTGGTCTCAGCACCACTCGGGACACACAGCTCAGCGGGAGTTCCTGCTTCTCCCTCCCTGGCCCTGACCGAGCATCCCTGCCGGGTATGACTTTCAGAAGTTATAGACAGAGTATAGTCAGGCCCTCCCGCAGCCTCCGTCCACCCTGGGTTCAGTACGGGTCTCCTGGATGCCAGGCCATGAAGTTAGAGAGCCCAGGGAACAGTGAGTGTGGACAGAGCGTCGAAGGAAACCCTGAAAGCAGGCGGAGATGCTGGGTGGCTTCAAGTTCCAAGCCTGAGCTGATCCTGGCCTTGCAAGGTCCTTTCCCCGTCTCCGGTGGTCTTAATCCCCCGATGGAAGCGGTAGGGTAAAGATCTACCCTGCCCCTGACATCCTTCAGAAGGCCAGACGCCATCCCAGCAGGACTCACCCTGACAGTCTGGACCCAGTGACCTAAGAGTCACGTACCAGGACCCGTCCTGACCCTCCCACCCCGTTCTCTCCGGCAGTGCCCAATCACCCCTGCAGAGTCAACAACGGAGGCTGCAGCAACCTGTGTCTGCTGTCCCCTGGCGGTGGTCACAAATGTGCCTGCCCCACCAACTTCTACCTGGGCGGTGATGGCCGTACCTGTGTGTCCAACTGCACAGCAAGCCAGGTAAGGGTCCCCTCAAGACTCCCCCTGTCCCGTGCCTCACCCCCACCCCTCACGCCAGTGTCCCCGCACCCACTCTAATGCCCACACATCTGGCATTCCCCGTGCTAACACCTCCACACTTCTGCCTACCTCTTGTCTTCCCACAGCAATGCTTTACACTTGCCACCTTACAAACCCCTCTACACCTCAGTGCTGACCTCACCAGTGCCGCTAGCCCTCCCCTTCCTGTGCTCTCCCCGTACAGACACCCCTCCTCTGGCCTCCCCGCACACTCTAACCCCCGCCATTTCTCGGAAACACTTCTGCCCCTTGAAAGAGAGCCTGAGTTTCCCCCTGCCCCCCCACCAACCCCGTCTCGCCCCCCTGCCCTCCAGTTTGTGTGCAAGAACGACAAGTGCATCCCCTTCTGGTGGAAGTGTGACACTGAGGACGACTGTGGGGACCACTCGGACGAGCCTCCAGACTGCCGTGAGTGTCCAGGGCGCGGGGGGCAGGAGGCTCCACGCTGGCCGCCAGGGGCAGAGACTTTAGTGACGCCCTTTCTCCCTGCATGTGTGTGGTGTGCGTGTGTGTGTGATGTGCATGTGTGTGTGTGTGTGTGTGTATGGTGTGCATGTGTGAGTGTGTATGTGTGATGTGCGTGTGTGTGTGGTGTGCGTGTGTGTGTGGTGTGCGATGTGCATGTGTGTGTGTGATGTGCATTTGTGAGTGTATGTGTGTGATGTGCATTTGTGTGTGTGATGTGCATTTGTGTGTGTGTGAGTGTACGTTTTTGATGTGTGTTTCTGTGTGTGTGATGTGCATTTGTGAGTGTGTGTGCTGTGCATTTGTGTGTGTGTGATGTGTGTGTGTATGTGTGTGATGTGCATGTGCGTGTGTGTGTGTGTGTGTGTGTGTGATGTGCATTTGTGAGTACAGGCGTATGCATGGTCAACATGTGGAGGTCAGAAGGCAGCCCTCAGAGATCGGCCCTTCTCGCACCGTGGTTCTGAGGACCACGGGTCGTCAGGCCCTGGCGACGCACCTCTGGGCCGTCCCACGGAACCACCTCCTACCCTTCTGACCCTGAGCCTTCCGTCTGGCAGCCGAGTTCAAGTGCCGCCCCGGCCAGTTCCAGTGCTCAACCGGCATCTGCACCAACCCTGCCTTCATCTGTGATGGGGACAATGACTGCCAGGACAACAGTGACGAGGCCAACTGCGGTAAGGGGCGGCCTGGGCGCCAGCCGTTCCTCCCCTGCCCGCCCGAGCCCTCCACCTGTGCTTAGTTACCTCCCGTTCCCCCTCTCCCAGACATTCACGTCTGCCTGCCCAGCCAGTTCAAGTGCACCAACACCAACCGCTGCATTCCCCGGCATCTTCCGGTGCAACGGCCAGGACAACTGCGGGGACGGCGAAGACGAGCGGGACTTGCCGTAAGTGGGCACCGGCATGCATGCATGCACGCACGCACGCACATACACACGCACATGCTGCTGTTTCCCACGGCTTCCCGGAGAGGTGCTAGTCCACTCGGGATGATGTGAGTCACAGTGGGTGTCTCCTGGATTGCGTATAAAAGCAACGTGCTCAGTACAGACAGACAGCAGATCCAGAAAACAAAAAAATACCAGACTGAGGATAAACAATTCCTTCCGCCGGGCAGTGGTGACACACACCTTTAATCCCAGCACTCGGGAGGCAGAGCCAGGAGGATCTCTGTGAGTTCGAGGCCAGCCTGGGCTACAGAGCGAGATCCAAAACTCCACAGAGAAACTCTGTCTTGAAAAACACAAAAAACCATTCCTTCCTCCTGACCAAGACCAGGGCCAGGCTTTTGGAAGAGGGAGAACATGGACAACCAAAAGCTGGGAGGAGGCGTCCGGGTCCTCATTCTCTCCTCCACCTTGCAGCCGAGGTGACCTGCGCCCCCAACCAGTTCCAGTGTTCCATCACCAAGCGCTGCATCCCCCGCGTCTGGGTCTGTGACAGGGACAATGACTGTGTGGACGGCAGCGATGAGCCCGCCAACTGCAGTGAGTCGCCTGTCATCGCCCCCGGAACCCGTGCCCCCCGCAGCATCTGTGACTCCATCACCCCAGCAGGCGCACCCCCCCTCCCCTTGGCGGCTCTGCCGTGACCGGGGGAGGGGGGGGCTCTCCTCACCCGTGCCCATGCCTTGCAGCCCAGATGACCTGCGGGGTAGATGAGTTCCGCTGCAAGGACTCGGGCCGCTGCATCCCAGCACGCTGGAAGTGTGATGGCGAGGACGACTGTGGCGATGGCTCCGATGAGCCCAAGGAGGAGTGTGGTAAGTCTGGGTCTGTCGTGAGAGGGTGGCGGCCTCGGGTCAGGGGTGAGGTTCAACCGTGGGCCTCGGGGGGTGCAGGGCTCTTAGGGTCGCTGTAGAGCCGACACAGGGGAGCCTTCCCTGTGGTCCCCACCACCTCTCAATTCCTTGTGCCTCCCTCTGGCCACCGATCAGACGAGACTTGTACAGAGTGTTCTGTGCCTGCCCTGTTCACCCGCTCCCCAGATCAGCCGCCTCCCCCCACACCCTTGGTCCATCCTGCCCAGACCCTCCTGTGGACGACACCGCACGCGCTATCTACCGCAAGGGTGTCGCTGGCTGAGCCCCAGAGCCAGGCTTTCCCAGACGGCAGTGACCACCCGCCTGCCCTACCCTCTGCCACCCACTCCGTCCCTGACTGCCCCCTCCCCCCAGACGAGCGCACCTGCGAGCCGTACCAGTTCCGCTGCAAGAACAACCGCTGTGTGCCAGGCCGCTGGCAGTGTGACTATGACAACGACTGTGGGGACAACTCGGACGAGGAGAGCTGCAGTATGTCCCATGCCGCGCCCTGCCCATCATCCCCCGCCCCCAGCACCGGCGTCCCGCCCACCACTGTGCAGGGGGCTGGCCTCCCGGGGCGAGGGGGTCAGGAACCCCTCTGCCTCTGCACCCCACCCCCCTCCATGTCCTGTGCTTAAGCTTTTGTTCCATTTCACCTCATCTCATGTTTCTCTCCATTTTTACACTGTCCTCTTGGGGTTGCAGAGGTAGGTGTCTCCGATGTGCCCCTCTTCCTGCGGCCTCTGCCCATCCCTGTGCTGTCTGTCCTTCTGCCTATCATCCTTAACTGGCCTCTCCCCAGACCTGGTGCTTGTCTCGGTGATCTTGTCCCTTCCTCCCCTATGTGGTCTGCCCTAAGGACAGGACCCGGGACCCGTGCCCTCTCCCATGCGTCTGTTCCTACTGGGATAAGTGTGAATCCCCCCTTGGCCCAGCCAGTCTATGAGGACAGCCAGTTAGCTGCCTGGGATTGGTTGATCATCATACCAGTCAGCTGTGGCCTTCACAGACCTAGCAATGATTCTCGGGCTTGGGAGTAGTGTTTCCGAGGGCCGGCGATGCCCTGTGCCCACCGCGCTGGGGCCTGTCTTTCCCCAGCCCCTCGGCCCTGCTCCGAGAGCGAGTTTTCCTGTGCCAACGGCCGCTGCATCGCTGGGCGCTGGAAGTGTGATGGGATCATGACTGTGCCGACGGCTCAGACGAGGTGAGCAGATCTCAAGGAAAGGGGGGGGGGCTCAGGAGACTCAGGGCGGGACCCCGGGGCCTGACCCGGCTGCTGGCTCTCACGCCCACAGAAAGACTGCACGCCCCGCTGTGACATGGACCAGTTCCAGTGCAAGAGTGGCCACTGCATCCCCCTGCGCTGGCGCTGTGATGCGGATGCTGACTGCATGGATGGCAGTGACGAGGAAGCCTGCGGCACCGGGGGTGAGCCCCTCCTGCCGGGCATCCCCCCCCCGCCCCCCCCAGACTATGATGTGGCCAGGTTGACTCGGTCTTTTACTTCCTTCAGTCATGGTTCCTGTAACACACCTTTGTTGAGTATATACTGAGAGACGTCCTAGGTGTCGGGGATGTAGCAGTAGACAGGACTCAGGTCCACTGGGTGTAATTTTTATGTGACTTGTGCCCTAACCTTGCTGGGGGGCTGGCTAGATCCAGCCGAGGCCTGTAAGCTGTGTCCACCCACCGCCCTACCCACCTCCTGCTCACAGCTGGCTGTGGTAAGAGGTCGGATCCTGCTCACCTTCCCTCCAGGGGCGGGCAGTGAGCCAGGGTCTGCTCGGTAGCCTGAGGGAGCAGTGGGACACTTGTCGGGAGAGAAGCTGAGGGTTGGAGCAGGGTTGCCTCCCTGGAAGGCAGCCTCCCTGGTTCTGCCCCGTAGGCTGAGGGTCACTGACCTAGAGCCTGCGCCTGGCACAGGCTATCCTAGGCTCTTCTACTCAAGAATATCATCCTGAACCCCTGTGGATACACCCAAAGTAGCCTCTCTTCCCTAAATACCAGAGGAAGCCCTTGGCCCTCTGTCCACTGGGCAGGAAATTTAAGACACCGGAGTCGGATTATGCTACAGCTTCCCTGGTGGCCCCGGGCCGCAGCCCCACCCACAGAGGGAGTGACAGCCACAGCGTGCATTCATTTTTACCCCCTCGTTCCCCCTGCACCCAGTGAGGACCTGCCCCTTGGATGAATTTCAATGTAACAACACCTTGTGCAAGCCCCTGGCCTGGAAGTGTGACGGTGAGGACGACTGTGGAGATAACTCGGATGAGAACCCTGAGGAATGCGGTAAGATTGAGGATGGAGCGGGGCGGGGTTAGGGGTTGTCCAAGGCGAGGACAGAGCGTCCGGTGGGGACGTGACTCCCACACTCCCCAGTGGCCAACTGTGCCCATCCCCAAGTCTGATCCTATTTCCTGGCTTGTACAGCCCGGTTCGTGTGTCCTCCCAACCGGCCCTTCCGATGCAAGAACGACCGCGTCTGCCTGTGGATTGGGCGCCAGTGTGACGGCATCGACAATTGTGGGGATGGAACCGATGAGGAGGACTGTGGTGAGCTGAGGGCAATGCGGGGGGAACGGGGAGTTTGCAGACCCTTCCGCAAGGCTGAAGATAGAGGGCCTGAACCTGGGGAGAGGGATGTCCTTGGGAAAGGTACGGGAGGCCCTGAGGTTGCAGGTTCACACACCACCCCCTGCCCTCAGCCGGGACACCCCTCTGTTAGCAAGGTCTCTGTGGAAGAAGGAGGGGTCGTGGGTGTGGTCGGCACCCAGAGCCTGAAGGCTCTTCCCTCCCCAGAACCCCCCACGACCCAGAATCCCCACTGCAAGGATAAGAAGGAGTTCCTCTGCCGGAACCAGCGCTGTCTGTCTTCCTCGCTGCGCTGTAACATGTTTGACGACTGCGGCGACGGCTCGGACGAAGAGGACTGCAGCATCGGTAGGACCAGTTGTGCGCGTGCGCAAGCGCGGAGGGGTGGGCACCAGGGGGCGGGGCTTAGTCAGGGCCCTCCACGGTTTGTCCACGGTTTGTCTCCCGCAGACCCCAAGCTGACCAGCTGCGCCACCAACGCCAGCATTTGTGGGGACGAAGCGCGTTGTGTGCGCACGGAGAAAGCTGCCTACTGTGCGTGCCGCTCAGGCTTCCACACCGTGCCGGGCCAGCCAGGATGCCAGGGTAGGAAAGCTGGGCGGCAGATGGGCAGGGACCCCGGCTCCTAGACTCCCCGTGACCCCCACTGTAACCCCCAGACATCAACGAGTGCCTGCGCTTCGGCACCTGCTCACAGCTCTGCAACAACACCAAGGGCGGCCACCTCTGCAGCTGCGCCCGCAACTTCATGAAGACACACAATACCTGCAAGGCCGAAGGTGCTGGAGTCGGGAAAGGACGGGGAGGGTGGGCGGGGGGGCCGGGCCGCATGCACGGGCATAGAAAATGGAGCTGGGCTGGAATGGAACATTCTCAAGCATCCGTCCATGCTCAGGCATGGGCCCCCCAAGACTCAAGGCACACTGGGCCGCCGTCCTGAGCAAAGCATTGGAAAAAAAGCATTAGAGGACACCTGCTGGGTTTCCAGAGTTCTGTGAGAGCAACACTCCCACGTGGCGTACAACCCTACCTCCCCACCCCCAGGTTGAGAGTACCGTTAGACTCACAGTCACGTGGGCCCACCTGCCTATTCCCCCATGCTCCCACAAGGCACCGCACCCTCCATGTGCCTGTGCTCACACACCATGCACGCACATGGGCGTGTATATACACACCCCCAAGAGGACTCACGTGCCTGTGCCCTCTCAGCAGCTGATGCTGCCCACAGACCACAGGCAGAATTCCTGGAACTGTCGGGTAGGGAAGTGAGGCACAGGGGCACATTTCTAAAGGACCTGGTCATTCTGTTATCAGCTTGGGGCACAGGTTAAAGTCCTTGGGCCTGGTGTTAGACACACCAGCACAAGAAACATCCCTGCCTAAGCCAAATGGTTTGATTAGATGGGAGGCTGCTGTAGACTGCCAGGGTCTTGGCTGGAGGTCATCTTTCCCCAGTACTTGGCCATGTGAGTCCCAGGGATCGAACTCGGGCCCTGGGCTCTTGCCTCTCCCTCTCAAACCCACCTGACAGGTGGTCTCTGACTCTGGCAGGCTCCGAGTACCAGGTCCTATACATTGCCGATGACAACGAGATCCGAAGCTTGTTCCCCGGGCACCCCCACTCAGCCTACGAGCAGGCCTTCCAGGGAGACGAGAGCGTCCGGATAGACGCCATGGATGTCCATGTCAAGGCCGGCCGCGTCTACTGGACTAACTGGCACACGGGCACAATCTCCTACCGGAGCCTGCCGCCGGCTGCACCTCCTACGACTTCCAACCGCCACCGGAGACAGCTTGACCGGGGCGTCACGCACCTCAATGTAAGTGTCAGATTTGGTGGAAGAGCGCCGCAGAGCAGTGCTTGAGGAGGGTGGTGGGAGCTGGCAGAGCCTGTCAGGATGGCCTGTGGAGGCACAGCTAATGGCCAGAGCAGGAAGAACTATCGGAAGTTGGCCCTGCCACATGGCAGCATGGGACACCAGGACAGACTGACACTCGGCATCAGAGCCCACTCCGATTCCTGCTTGTCACTCCATGTCAGTATTGGCCAACTTGCTCAACTACTTGGGGCCTCACGTTATCAATAAAATGAATAATACCTGTCCTAGATTTAGGTAGAGTTCATTGGAAGAATGTGTGAAGCCCTAGGTTTGATCCTGAGCAACAGTGATAAAAATATAACAATGACAAATGATAACCTAATCTTACAAGCTTCTTTGTATATCTGGTTGCTTGGGTTTTTAGTGCTAGGCAAGTGCTTACCAGTGAACTACACTCCCCGCTTCATAGACTGCATTTTTTTTAATGTATGTGCGTGCATGTATATGTGACATGTACATGCCATGGTGCACATGTGTGTATGTGACATGTACATGCCATGGTGCACATGTAGAAGTCAGAGGACAACTTGAAGGAGTTATTTCTCTGCTTCTACTATAAGAGTCCCAGGGATTTGAACTCAGGTCATCCAGGCTTAGCAGCAAGCACCTTTAATCCACTGAGCCATCTCGTTGCCCCTACCCCACCCCATAACCTTTTTTTTTTTAAGTGAGGATTAACTTGAAAAACATGAAATTGTGCCAGGCATGGTGGCTCATGCCTGTAACTCCCGCTGTATGAGTAGCAGAGGAAGGGACACTACAAGATGAGTGGTCGATCAGCCTGGGCTGTGAGAGAGGCCTAGTCCAAACAGAAACCATGGCTGGAGCCGTGTTAGTCAGGGGTGGCTGACAGACTCGGGGGAGTGGGGGTAATGACCAGGGAAAGATGGTGATCTCTGAATATGTGCCTCACTTAGATTTCAGGGCTGAAGATGCCGAGGGGGATTGCCATCGACTGGGTGGCCGGGAATGTGTACTGGACCGACTCTGGCCGAGACGTGATTGAGGTGGCGCAAATGAAGGGCGAGAACCGCAAGACACTCATCTCGGGCATGATTGATGAGCCCCATGCCATCGTGGTGGACCCACTGAGGGGGTGGGCAAGGGTCCTGGGGGGGAGGTGTTGGGGCTGGTGTCAGGAAGCCCTTAAGACAGGCCCCGCATCCACAGGCGACAGAGACCGCAGGCGTCTAGGCTACTCCAGCCCTGGCCCTCCTGAAGCCACGGCTGGGGACTCACAGCTGAGTGGCTGACCTCGGCTTGACTGACCGGCTGTCATGTGCAGCCAAGAACTGGGTCCCCCTCCAGGGGGCCGCTCTGCCCCAGCATACTGTAGTTAGAGTAGATGATGTTAGCCTGGGTCAGAAGTGTGAAGAGGGCAGGCAGCATCCAACCAGGTCAGGTGCTCTCTGTTTCACTGTGGTCTCTTCCTTGGCCCTGGAGACCAACCCCCTCTCACTTCTCCCTCCCTAGTACCATGTACTGGTCAGACTGGGGGAACCATCCCAAGATCGAAACGGCGGCGATGGATGGGACCCTTCGAGAGACCCTCGTGCAGGACAACATTCAGTGGCCCACAGGTCCCCGGGGCGCAGGGGTAGGGCGTGGGAGGGACAGGCTCTGGTCACAGCTGCTTCAAAAGTCGCCCAGCATCGATCGAGGGCAGTGGGGCAGGCGGTTTCCAACAGATCGGGCTAAGGGCCGTGGGAGCGTTTTCCAGATGGGTGACTGGGAGAGACACCGGACAGAATCGGTGCTTTCTCTGCACCCAGCCGGGCGTGGCAGAGGCTGAGCCTCACAGCATTCTCTCACCTCAGGCTTGGCCGTGGATTACCACAATGAACGGCTGTACTGGGCAGATGCCAAACTTTCAGTCATCGGCAGCATCCGCCTCAACGGCACCGACCCCATCGTGGCTGCCGACAGCAAGCGCGGTGAGAGGGTGGCGGCGGCGGCCTCGGACCCAAACCCTGACATCAGGCCTCCCTCCCTCCCGTCACCGCTCCCCGCCCCTCCGTAGCCTGGCCCCCCAGCCCATTCATTCGTTCTACCGATACTAAGTGGTGTGGAGTCAGCCGGGGTGGAAAAGTCTCCTGTGACCCCTGGAGTCTTGGGGTGATGAGACCTTTTGCCCGCAGCGGGGGCGGGGATCGTTGGTTGTGAAGCCTAGGCAGACAGAGCCAAGTGTCTTAGACAGTCCAGGGCCCAGACCCCATCTTGATCTAACCTGACCCCCGCCCCCCACAGGCCTAAGTCACCCCTTCAGCATCGATGTGTTCGAAGACTACATTTATGGCGTCACTTACATCAATAACCGCGTCTTCAAGATCCACAAGTTTGGACACAGCCCCTTGATCAACCTGACGGGGGGCCTGAGCCACGCCTCCGATGTGGTCCTCTACCATCAGCACAAGCAGCCAGAAGGTGTGGCAGAGGGCAAAAAAGCCCGGGGTGTGGGAGGGAGCGTTCTAGACCCACACAGGGCGCGGGAGGAGCCCTGCTCGACATCTACCCCCCCCTTCCACACCCCCGCAGTGACCAACCCCTGCGACCGGAAGAAGTGTGAGTGGCTGTGTCTGCTGAGCCCCAGCGGGCCTGTCTGTATCTGTCCCAACGGGAAGAGGCTGGACAACGGCACCTGTGTGCCCGTGCCCTCTCCAACACCCCCTCCAGACGGTAGGCGCCGCACACCCCTTTCCCGGGCACCCTGGGATCTTTGCCCTAGAGCCTCTGGCTTCTCTGACCCTTGACCCCACTCCTCTGCCCTGCTCACAGCCCCGCGGCCTGGGACCTGCACCCTACAGTGCCTCAATGGCGGCAGCTGCTTCCTCAACGCCCGGAGGCAGCCCAAGTGCCGCTGTCAGCCCCGCTACACCGGGGACAAGTGTGAGCTGGACCAGTGCTGGGAGTACTGCCAAAACGGCGGTACCTGTGCGGCTTCCCCGTCTGGTATGCCCCCAACCAGGACCGGTCCTTCTCCCCCTACCCCGTTGCACCCACTCCTTCTGGTCGCTGCTTCCCCGGGTCCCTCCCAGCTCGGTTACAGGCCCAGGTGGTTCCCGGTACCCCCAGTCCCACTCACAAACCTTTCCCCTCAGGCATGCCCACGTGCCGGTGCCCCACAGGCTTCACGGGCCCCAAATGCACCCAGCAGGTGTGTGCGGGTTACTGTGCCAACAACAGCACCTGCACCGTCAACCAGGGCAACCAGCCCCAGTGCCGATGTCTCCCTGGCTTCCTGGGTGACCGTTGCCAGTACCGTGAGTGAATCATCCCGGCCCCAGGGAAGGAAGAGGGAAGCCACGGCGTGGGGGGGCTGAGAGGAGGGAAGCCATTGGCGATGAGCCGTGCCCAGGCTGGGGGTGCTGCCCACCATGTTGGCACACCTCCCTGGTGTTGGGAGCCTCCGGGCAGCAGGATTATTCAACGAGACGAATGCGCTGTCTGAATGCTCAGGGACATCCTTGCGTCCTGGGGTCTGTGACAGGGCGGTAGGGGCTCAGGAGGAGGGAGGGAGTCATCCTGGAGACTCCTTACCCCTGCACAGTGGACCCTTATGAAAGTAGGACTTGGGGCACTTCCTCTCCGTCCCCAACCGCAGGGCAGTGCTCTGGCTACTGTGAGAACTTTGGCACCTGTCAGATGGCGGCCAACGGTTCCCGCCAGTGTCGCTGCACGGTCTACTTTGAGGGGTCGAGGTGTGAGGTGAACAAGTGCAGCCGCTGTCTCCAAGGAGCCTGTGTGGTCAACAAACAGACCGGAGACGTCACTTGCAAGTGAGTGGAGCCCGGTCACAGCTGTGCGCCCCTGCCCTGCCACCCCTAGCCCTGTCCTAGGGTCACAGACCCCTGCCAGCCCCAGCTCCGGATTCTGCTTCCTCCCACAGCTGCACGGATGGCCGGGTAGCCCCCAGTTGTCTGACGTGCGTCGACCACTGTAGCAATGGTGGTTCCTGTACCATGAACAGCAAGATGATGCCCGAGTGCCAGTGAGTTGGGCCTGAGCCTCACCAGGAGCAGGCGGTCCCTCTCCCTCCAACCCGAGCCGAAGAACCATCTGGGGCCCCTGCAGCTACAGAGGTTGCAGAGGTGATGCCTGACCACTGAGCTTTACTTTCCTGCCTGCAGGTGCCCACCCCATCTGACAGGACCCCGTTGCGAGGACCAGGTCATCAGTCAACAACAGCCTGGACGTAAGTGGCGGAGGGCAGGACTAGCGAGAGCTTGGTGCCCCCCCCCCCCCATTTCCTGTGCTTCAGACTCAGTCTTCCGACATCTGTCTCCAGATATGGCCTCCATCCTGATCCCTCTCCTGTTGCTCCTGCTGCTGCTTCTGGTGGCCGGAGTGGTGTTCTGGTACAAGCGGCGAGTCCGAGGGTAAGCCACTGGGAGTCTGGAAAATTCCGTTACTTTACCGCCCCCTTCGCCAGCGCCACTGTCCCCTGACTGCTGCCTCTCCCCAGGGCCAAGGGCTTCCAGCACCAGCGAATGACCAATGGGGCCATGAATGTGGAAATTGGGAACCCCACCTACAAGATGTACGAAGGTGGAGAGCCCGATGATGTCGGGGGCCTCCTGGATGCCGATTTTGCCCTTGACCCTGACAAGGTAGACCGGAGGCCACTGAAGGGGCTTCCAGGGTCCGGGGGTGGGCAGGACAACCAAACATGTTGTCCTGAGTGACGGCCCAGAAGTGACAGCTAAGGGGATTCTAACCCTCTGAACATCATTTTTGCAGCCTACCAACTTCACCAACCCAGTATATGCCACGCTCTACATGGGGGGTCACGGCAGCCGCCACTCCCTGGCCAGCACGGATGAGAAGCGAGAACTCCTGGGCCGGGGACCGGAGGACGAGATAGGGGATCCCTTGGCATAGGACCCTGCCCCCAACGGACGTCCCCAGAAAGCCCCTGCCAGACGAGTCCTTCCATGAGCCCCCTCCCCCAGCCAGCCCTTCCCCGGCCCTGCCGGCTGTACAAATGTAAAAATGAAGGAATTACTTTTTATATGTGAGTGAGCAAGCGAGCACAGTATTATCTCTTCATTCTCCTTCCTGCTCCTCAGCATTCCCCACCCCACCCCATGCTGCCTTGAGGGGGCAGGGAGAGCTCTGTGGCTCGAAGGTATGAAGGAGCCCACCTCCATTCCCTACCAGACACATGCCAGGGCCTCTTGCCCCACGTTTTCCCTCCTCAGCTCTCTGGGGGTTAGTTCTGGGGAGGTGGAGTCCTCCGCGGACCCTGTCTGGAAGATTTGGCTTTGTGAGGTAGGAAGAAAAGAACGGAGTCCTTCCGTGAGGGAAGTCCTCCCAAGCCCTGGCTCCCGCTTGTAAGGGCACCTCTGAGATGGCCTTGCTCAGTATTCCTTCCGGACAGGCCCTCCCCTCTCCAGTGCCCCACTGTGGCTCCTACGGCTGTACACGTTCTTTGGTAACTGTCCCCCAGCTTCTGCTCCCGAGGACCAGGAAGAGTTGGGGCATACCAAGGAAGGGCAAGCGGGCAGCCCCATTTTGGGGACGTGAACGTTTTAATAATTTTTGCTGAATTCCTTTACAACTAAATAACACAGATATTGTTATAAATAAAATTGTAAAAAAGAAAAAAAGGAAAAAAAAAGAAAGAAAAGAAAAAAAAAGCCACTGTGTCTGGTACCTGCTAGTGTGAGACTCTGGGAGCTGGGGCTCTGTCTGCTTGCTCAGCCGCCAGAGGGAGCCTTGCTGCGTGCTGGAGGCCAGCCTGAGAACCCTAAGGTCAATGTCTCCAGCCTCACGCCATCCTTCAGTCTCTCTATGGCAGGAAGAACTGTTTTCTCTTGGTGTATGACCTTGAGCCTGTAGCTTATGGTGGTTGGATCTGGTGTTCCCCTGGCCCCAGCACGCCGACCTGGAGATCTGACTACTTTGTACCTTTCACCGTGCACCTGTCCCCCACTGTCCCCCCACGCCAGAAGAAATGAGGGCATTGGGTCGTGAAGGCTTTCCAGACCTTTAAGATGGTCGGCTACATCTCTCTGCTCTCAGCTCCCTTTGAAATGTTGACATCTCACTCTATGATGAAGCCATGAGTAAAACCATGGCTGTAAGGCCGGCAGGATGCTACTGTGGGGAGAGAGCCTGCAAGCCTGATGACCGAGTCTGATCTTGGAACCCATGGAAGAGTGAGCAAAAACCAGCTCCATAAAATTGTTCTCTGGGCCGGGCGGTGGTGGCGCATGCCTTTAATCCCAGCACTCGGGAGGCAGAGCCAGGCGGATCTCTGTGAGTTCGAGGCCAGCCTGGGCTACCAAGTGAGTTCCAGGAGAGGCGCAAAGCTACACAGAGAAACCCTGTCTCGAAAAACCAAAAAAAAAAAAAAAAAAAAAAAAATTGTTCTCTGACCTCCACATGTACACTTTGGCACACACACCCAGAATCACTTTTATTTTTCAATTAAAAACCTGAATTAGGGGAGGGGCTAGGGTGAAGGAGTGTGTTTGCCCACCAGCCTCCAGTAAATACTGGGGGCATTCCAGGAATTGGCCAGGAAAAGACTTGTGCCTTCTAAGTTATTCCAGATCTCCTTGGACCTCTCTCAAAGGGGACTGATGCTCTTGCAGAAGGTTATACAGCTTTACACTGTCCAGGACTGAGGGAGGGTTGGAACCCTGTGCTCCCAACAGCAGCACACACAATACCTCCCAAAGGAGCAGCCTTGCTTCTCATGCCTGGCCCTCACTGGCTCAGCTTCCCCAGGGCATTTTTCCCAGCTTCCTCCCTTGGGGAAGTTTATGGATAGACGCACGTCCAGGAGCAAGACTATTTTTCCCTCATCCTCAAGACCATCATCTCCAACTTCATCCCCAAAGCCTGCTCTGAGACCTTCCTAGCTTCCTCGGATCCCCAAGGGATGAGCAACCCAGCTGGGGGAAGAAAAGAGTGTGTGTGTGTGTGGGGGGGTGTCCTTGTTGATCCTGAAGTGATAGGCTTGGGCTCCTTCTGGCCACCAGGTGGCATATGGCATATACACTCCGGTAGCTCGGCTTCTCCTAAAGCTCAACACACTAATTATGCACCTGCCGAGGACCCTAGCCCAGCCTCTCACTTCCTTCCCTGAGGCGATTTTGTACTGACCTATCCACCCTCTGTCAGCCATCTTCCTTCCCTCCCCCAGAGCCTGCTTTTTCCACCCCCTCCCAGGCCCCTCCTCCTGCCAGCCTGCATCTGTAGCCCCCTCGGGAGCCACTGATTCTCTGCCTGTCACCTCAAGATCCTGGGTAGAGCGAGATGGCCCCCAGCTGCGGCTTAGAAAGCACACCCCTTGGTTAGCGCCCTCCCTCCGCCGGCCAGGACCAGAAGGGTCCACCTGGAGCAGTCTCCCAGCAATCTAGCCAGCCAAGTGGGAGGGGGTCTCAAGAACCAAAAAGAAACCGAACAGATACATATAGCGGGGTAGAAACCAAATGAAAGGTAGATTGACAGATGGAGATTCTCGGGAACAGAGGCCAAGACCCAGATAAGCAGTGTGCACGTGTGTGTATATGTGCATGCGAGTGTCGTCTCTGAGAGGATCAGATGACCCGAGATTAGCTAAAACAGTGATGGGGGGTCTGGTCTCCTAAAGATGGAGACTTTGGCCTGGGTTTCTGTCCTGGGCACCGAAGGCATGGGACCGCCCTCATCCAGTACTAACGCAGGCCGGGCTTCGGACCAGCCCTGAATCCTGGTTGGGGCCTGGCTCCTGACTCGGTGGTCCTGCCCTTCCTCCTCCAGCCTCACTGCAGGCAAATCGGCCAAATCGCTGCTTCCTGGTTTTTGTCTCCTTGGGTGTCACTACGTCAGCCTCATCCCCTCAGCATCCCTGACCTTTCCCTGACCCTCTCTTTTTGGTGTCTGTCATATCCTATATGTGTCTGTCTGTCCTTTTCATATTCTTGGGCTTGTCTTGTGTGTGTGTGTTGTGGTGTGTGTGTGTGTTGTGGTGTGTGTGTATGTGGTGTGTGTGTTGTGGTGTGTGTGTTGTGGTGTGTGTGTTGTGTGTGGTGTGGTCTGTGTGTGTGTGTGTGTGTGTTGTGGTCTGTATGTAGTGTGTGAAGCATGTGTGTTGTGGTCTGTATGTAGTGTGTGAAGCATGTGTGGTGTGGTCTGTATGTATGTGCGATGTGGTCTGTATGTGGTGTGTGTGTGTGTGCACATGGTGTGTTGTGTGTGTGATGTCTGTGTGTGGCATTTGTGGTGTGGTCTGTGTGTGTTTATGTGGTATGGTCTGTATGTATGTGGTGTGTGTGTGGCATGTGTGGTGTGGTGTGTGTGGCGTGCACGTGTGTGTGTGTGTGTGTGTGTGTGTGTGTGTGTGTATGTGTGTGTGTGTGTCCAGCTCTGTGGATGTTTGCTTCTGTCAAGGCAAAAGAGTGCTTTGCATACCTAGCTGTTTATACATATCACTGTATGCTCTTGTGTGTGTAAATCATGTGTGTCCATCTGAGCGTGCTTGTGTGTCCCTGTGTGTGCTGGTCTGTGTGTGAATGTGTTTTGCTCTGTGTGCACTCACTGCACATACAGGCCGCTATGAGCGTGGTGTGCGCCCGGAGACCCATCTTGGGGTGTGGGCCTGTCTCTTGCTGTCTAGGTGTTGGTCATGCTACCACCTCAGACTCCGCCGCCGCCGCAGCGCATAGCAACAGCTGACAGCTGAAGACTCCCCGGGCAGGGAAGAGAGAGACCAGTGGGAGGAGGGAACGGATGAAGAAACAGCCCCGAGGATGAGCACAGAGACAGAGCTGGGGACAGAGACAAGGACGGGGATAGACGACGACGGGGACAGGAGGAGCAGAGCTGGGAGAGGAAGCCGGGACGGTGGGGGGGGGGGGGAAGCTCGGGGACGGTACCCGGAGGCTGGGCGGACCGCACTGAGGACTTCCTGCCCAGCCCCCACGTGAGGCTGCTCTGGGCTGGGCAAGGGGCAGCAGTGCGGGTCCAGCCAGGGGCAAACTTGAAAAGAGCCGGTCTAGCCGAGGGGTCCCCGAGGCCGCAGAGGTGCGGTGGGGCGGGGGCGGGGCGCCGGGCGCCGTTTGTCAGCCCTATTGACAGACGTGATGGGGTTTCCGTCCGTGATCAATGATTCTCATCTCCGGGCCGAATGAGCCGCGGGGCGCCCATCCATCCCCGTCAGCGCCACGCGCCGTGGTAGCCGCCCGAGGCCCCGCCAGCCCTCACCTCCGAGGCCCCTGTCCCGCCCCTCTGCACGGGACCCACCCGGGCCTGGAGCACAGAGGGGACCCCTCCGGCCCCCGGATTCCCGCAGGAGCCCGAGCCTTCCGCGCCTGGCGGGACCCCTGTTCCACGACGCCCCCCTTGGCGCGCACAGTCCCGGGAGCCGGGAGCCCCACGCCCAGGCAGTCCCAGCCCTCACCCTGCGCCCAGACCTGGCGTCTTTGGGGTGCCGCCCCCCTCCCTCCCCACCCCACCTCCCACCCCCCAGCCCCTCCGACCCTCTCCGGCTTCACACCTGAGCCAGGGGCGTGTCCGGGGCGTGTCGCGGTGAAAGTCACCTTCCGTGGCCCCAGCCGGGCGGGAGGGGGCGCGCGGGGCGCGGCCGGGATTGGAGCACCGCGGAGCCCCGCCCCTCCCGACTCAGACCCAACTTTCTCCCCCGCCCGCGCCCCGCCCCCAGCGCCGCCGCTCCGCTCTCTCCGCGCTCAGTCCGCGGGCCGAGCCGCCGGCTCCCGCCGCCTGCACCGCCGCCTGCACCCCCAGTCCCGCCTGCCCGGGGACCCGCCCTGCCCGACCCGCCCTGCCCGACCCGCCCGCCCGGGAAGATGCGGCTGCTCCCGGAATGGCTCCTCTTGCTCTTTGGTCCGTGGCTCCTTAGGAAGGTAAGGGTGGCAGAGCCGAGGCACGGGACCGGGCATCTTTGGAGGAACACCCCCCCGCCCCCGCGCGCGCCCCGCGTGTGCCAAGGGGCTCGGGTGCGTCCGCCCCGCCCCCAGCACTAAGCGTCCCAACTTTGTGCGTCGTGGGGGACGCGGACGGACAGACAGACCGACCGCCC